GATTCTAATAAAATCACTATCATCTATACATAATTTTACAAATATTTTAATCATTACATATGGCTCATAAATGATTTATTACTTTAGAACTCTCACTCAAATAAAGTATATATAAAGCAATTAAACATAAAACAACATGCTTCATATATTTCATAAATCATCAAGGTCTTAATGTAGCATAAAAAAATTCTTAGAAATAAAGAATAATGCTTAAGGTACAGGCCTAAAAAGATAACTCTTAATTATATCTTTATATTTTTCTTGTACTTTCATCCCCTTGATGGCTCTATTTCATAGAGGATTTTCAGAATACGACTTGTTTCACTTGTTATGTTGCACAAGCTCCTTCCTAAGTTGTTTAAAAATTTCTCCTACAACCATGGCTTGATCTTCTTTCATTATGAAACTTGAATATACTCTACTATTGAAGAAATTTGATCCGGTTTTTTTATTTTTTAGCTTCTCTTTTTGCTATATTTATGATCACTGAGGATGTGAAAGGTTATTCAACATCTTCATTTTCATTTTGAACATTCTCATCACCCTCCGATTCATATTTTGGTCTCGACAGCATGCGCACCTCTTTAGGTCCTTCCGACACATTTTCAAGATCAATATTGGGATCTTCTTCAGGATCAGAATTAGAATCCTCACTTTAAGGTTCATATTCCTCCTCCTCTTCTTTGAAGGGTTCTGGGTCGGAATCCTCACTAAGAGGTTTATAATCTGATTCATCCAGATACTCAATGTTGATAGAATAATTTTCTGAGTTATCATTGCTGCTAGAAGCCTCTTGCTTCATATTTTCCTTGAAAAAAATAAATAATAAAAAATTTAGAAATATTTTTTTATAAACTCATAAAAAATACTAGATAACTCAAAAAATAAATTCTTGTTCTATCTCAAAAAAATATGTAAATTATATATCAAAATGAAGATCTCAAATTTATGAATTTTTTAAGACCAATTTTGTCCCAATCTGATTCCACGCGAGCCCCAAGAATATGCTAGATCAAGAAATTCTTAAAAAAAATATATAACCACTCTCAGGGAAGGTGCATGCACAACGCGCGCCGCCTAATCCTCCTCCTACGACGACATGCACTGGACCACAGTCTTCCACGCACCACCAGCTTCATGGTGGGGTCATCCATGTGTCGAATAAGTGAGTCAGTGGGTCACACACACCATGTGTCCTCTTTATATATATATATATATATATATTTATTTATTTATTTATTTATTTATTTTTATATTTTTTAATTAAATAATATATATATATATATATATTTTTTTTTTAACTAGGTCGGGGTTAATGAACTTGACCCGTGAACCCATGTATTTTTGTTTTTGTTTTTTTTTGGGTTAGGCTTACAGGCCCAAACCTTTTCTCCTTCTTAGGTTTTTTTTTTGTTTTGTTTGGGTCTTCTGGGCTCGTAGCCTAAAAATCAATTTTTTTTGACACGTCAAAACGACGTGTCGTTTGGATAAGGACAAAAACGATGCGTCATCGTCTTCCTCCAACCACGTCAACTTGACCCGGTTCCTCTAGCAGGTCGGGTCTGTTAGACTTAAACCTTTCGGAGGCCATATCTCCTCCGTCCGGTCTCTATTTTACACGTTCTTGGCATCATTTTCATCATTTTTTCGAGCTCTACACGTTTATGCAATTTTTTTGTTCAAAAAACTCATTTTTTAAACACACATTATTCGATTCATTTTCAATCGTTATGCTCATCACTGTTGATTGCATGCAAAACGTGTATGGCCATATAAGGAACATTCATATTAACCAAGAAGCATATTTAATACGTTTATTTTGATAGTGATAATCTTAAAGACAAACAGAGAAGATCGAAGCGTAAATAGAAAATAAAAAAACTAAACTTAGAGATTTGGGTATATGAAAAGAGCTGTCAATTAGGGCCAGCCCGGCCCTAAAGGGCAAGCCCTTGAAGGGCCAAGGCCTAAACGGGCTGACCCTAATAAGCCCGATTGTATGTCAGTGTTCCATTTTATAAGGCCCGGCCCTAGCCCTCAGGGCCTCGACCCTATTTTTTAAAATTATTTTTTCAATTAAAAATTATAAAAAATATATTTATAATCATAAAAAAAGTTATTATTCATAAAATTAAGTTTAAAAAAATAAATTTAAATCAATTTATACAACAACAATAAAGAAAACTAAAACATTTAGGTCTAATATCAAATAGCAACATCAAAGTGAATACCAATAAAAATTAAACTTAACTAATATTATCAGCTAAATCTTAGTAAATAAATGAGGGATGGATGAATGCATTTAATATGTTCATTTCTTTGAGTTATGTATTTAATCTTTTATTTTTTTGTATTATAATAATTTTAAAAAATTAATAAAAGGGCCTAAAAGGGCCGATCCTTTTATTTTCAAACTTAAAAATGCCCTTTTAAGCTCGATTTATTTTTTTTAAAGTTAAAATAGAAGCCCGGCCCTTAATTTTTTTCGGGCCTAAAAGGGCCAGCCCTAATTGAAGGCTCTATGTATGGAGTTAAGCAAATCATTATCAGTTCTTTAGACATAGGAAATACAGCCCAGGAAAGACGAAAGCTCTGATACCAATAAAAAAATAGAAGAGGAAAAACATACCTTGAGTCGTTAATTTACACGTACGTATGCGGGAACAAAGTTACACTAGTCGAACTTCGTTCGAGTACACAACAAACATATTCTCTGAGAGAAAAATCTTGTAAGGAGAAAAATGAGACCGACGAAAAATCGAGAGCAGTTTGTTTTTCTCTTCACGTAGAGAATTCAAAATCTGAACCGGCTGAAACCGCACCCATAACCACCTCTTATGGGAACGTGCGACAGTTTCTCCAACCGTCCATGTTTCAAATTCAAAGGTTAGAGAATGTTACATTTTAAGGCCATGAATAAATTGCATTTTGAACCCAAACATTTTTTATAATTCTCATAAGAACCTCATTCCTCAATTTAAGCTTTTATATGGGCCTGATCTACCAAGGGTAGATAACCCAACAGTCTTGTTAGTGGATTATCGTGCCAAGCTTTTACTTGTTTGTAAAATTCAAACGATTTATCACACTAATCATTTTTTATATAAAAAAATATTAATTACTTTTATCACGCACCTTTAATGAAATAGTTTTCTTCCGAAGTAAAAAGAAAAAGACAGACTAACAAGACACAGGTGGGGAGCTTTTTCTTCTGTTTTTATTTTCTTGCCTGGAAGTTAATTTAGATTTACACATCTATGCTTGAGTGATTTTGACTTTAAGATTAACAGGCTAAATTAATTCCTTGGGGACAATTTCAATAACTCACTGAATTAAATTTTATTTATAAAGTCTGGCAAGCTGAACAAAAAAAAAACCAAACTGAGTTCGTACATCAAGCCTCCTCCGGCGAATAATCAATTGAGCCAGTGAGCCAGAGAAAATAACATGACAGCCAATAGAAAGCATTCGCATTTTCAAAATCAATTGGAGCAGAAGCTAGAGATCAGAATATAGTAGCTTGATGAGGGGGGAGAGAGAGAGCAATCTGACAGACGGTGCTGTAATGCTCGAACCTGAGCAATTCGAGGAGCTCAACAATCTGAGGGAGGGAGAGCGAGGAGCTAAGACACACAGTGAGGGTGCCTCAAGCAGGACCTGGAGACTCAAGAGTTTACACTTCCAAGCTAAGGAAGAAAATTTTCCCTCAGTTTCTAGCTAATATACATGAATATAATAATAAATTAATTATCACCTTCCCACCTCTTTTAAACTAGACCAAAGATCATTAAAAATCCTCCCACCCAATAATATCAAACAGGAACATAAAAACATTATTCTCCGCTCCCCCTCCAAAAATTGAAAACCTTTCATGTTCAATAAAATAAAATCGCGCATGCTTCATAGCTTCAGAACATGGAACCAAAACTGTCTAGTTCAACATATTTATTGTCATTGTGATTGTTGTTTTTCCTTTCCAGAATTATTATTATTGCCAACTGTTGTTTTTATACAGTAAGGTTGGGATTAATGAAGTATCGTGCGCGATCATGCGTTGCTTGAGACGGTAGTAGGGCACGTTATAGATGTTTCTCGCTTCACGCATTTTCTCCGTTCCAGTCTTATGGATCTTGAGATGATTTTAATTAATTACACGAACTCAAAATATAGTTGATCATATTGGCAAACTCGTTATGAAATTATCATTATAAATGTTCACGCGAATCATCCATCCGGGGTCTTTTCTCTTCTTCAATACAATACTAAAGGTAGAGTTAAAACCCAATCAAGGATTAAAAAAAATTCAATTTTGACAGGAGTTGAATGATCAAATAAATAAATTACAGATAACGAAAACTAGAGGAACTTAAATTAAAGTATAAAAATTAATAACAAATTACGGGTAAAATATAAGAATTGAAAATTATATTCTCTCAAGAATCATTAATTCAAAAATAAATTGTCTTTGTGTGCGCGCGCGCGTGTGAGATACGCTTCTAGTATCAATCACACCTAAAATCAGAGGTTCTTGTTTTTTTAAAATAATTAAGAAAATGAAACGGGAATATGCCCAGTAGTCAAAGTAGACAAAGCTGCAAGAGTGAATACAGAAATAAAGTACCCTAAATATCACAAAAAAGAAGTAAGAGAGTGCATTTTCGTACATAACGATCAACACATTTTTCCGTCCCCAGGATAACTGTTCTCGAACCTTCATTATAACCTCAACAAAGGGATGAAAAGAAGCACAGCAATAGAAGAATGAGATCCAAAGCTTCGGTTGAAAGCCAGGTCACGTTCAAAGCTGGAGTGGATTCAGAGCTTGGAAAGAAGACAGAGAAGCCTAAAATGGATCCAATCCACAAGTCTGGACACCAATGGATTTTGGGCCCGATGTACATGGGCCATTGCTGGCAACAAGGACAACAGCATTAAGCTCTCGTTGAAAGTTGAAACCGAAACACCGTCCCTAGAACATAATTCAAAGCAACATACACAACTGCGTTGTAATACAATATATACTCATATGATTATACGTCTGAACTATTTACATCAACGGAACGTATTTCCGCTGAACAACCCATTAAAAAGAGAAAAGGGGGAGGGGAACTAGTCGCTATTCAAGTATTCATAATTCCTACGCCTACGACATTCACATCCCATTCCTTTGCCTTGACTTTGCATCCCCCAACAGATTCAACAGTGTTTCGTACCCCCGTAAGATGAACCCAGGGGATTTCACATGATAAATGCAAGGAACTATGCACACTTAAAGGAACAAGAAAGTTATCTTAAAAGGGCCATGTCGATTAGGGTTATCTTAAAATTGTTAACCTAAGCGAAAACAAAGCCACCGGATAATGCCATCAAACAGAAAGCAGCTTCCTCCACTTCCCCAAACTTCCTTTTCCTCTGGCATCTCTGTTTCTTCAGAACCGCCGGCACGCTCTGCAACAAAACCTCCTCATCCAATCCTATCGCGTTCATTTCCAACGATTCCCTCAAATGATTGTCATCCGTCGAGATGACGGTGACGGTGACGGCATCAGCAGCGCCGCCGCTTGAATTATGAGCTCTCTCTCTCTTCCTATGTAGTCCTTTGTTCAATCTCACCGAAGAAGCCCTTCTCTTCCTGTATCTAATCCCGCAAGCGTTGCATAGCGTCTGCATCACAAAGTACTGGTTTCTCTTATTCACGTTCCAAGAACCCAAAAAAAAAAAAAAAATGAGACTGAGAGCCATGGGGGACAAAGCCGCTGAGAGGAGACCAAGTTCAGCAGAAGAAGATATTAAATAATGTGGACAAGAATAGGGACCCGTAAATCATTATAACAACAATATGACAAGAGCACAAAAATAGGAACGGGCAGCCATAAGGTGGACCGCGTTCAAATGAAGTTCAACTTGCACAAAAAGTACGCCAAACAAAAAAATAAAAGTCATCACTGTCAACTTGTAAGCAGCCAAGCAGACAAAGTACAAACGCTAGCCGGAAAAGGGCAGGACGAGGTGAAATTGAAAAAGTCGTGGGTATTTCCATGAAAAAATCGAAAGTGAACAACGGGGAACTGAACAGTAACCAACCTGAAATTGACCCCTGACCAACCAGATTAAAATAAATATGAGAGCCAAGAGCTGGCTTCAAGACATAGAAACAAAATCTATGACCACCGTGGGAAGCTAAAAAAGTTCCTAGAAAGTGAGGGGAGAAATGCGAAGCGAGAATTAAATCATAATGAGTTGCAGTGGTGGGCATCACCTTGGGCCCCGCTGGCCCTCCTCTCCAGAGTGGGGTTTTAGTGGTTTTGCAATCACTACAGCACTTATTAATGTCACCCGATTCATCCGATGACGATTCCTGCGTTATAAGCAACACTTAACATAACTATAAAGAGGACAGGACCACGATGAATGCAACAGTAGAAACTCATAATTCACTCGGGAGCATACCTTTACATTGAGATCCATCATTACCATCGACCTACTCCAGTAAGAATTCAAATCAAACAGATCTTACAATCACCAGAGGTTAAAAACAGAGGGTTAGTGAGTTTGCACTTTACATAGCCGAATAAAAAAGGAAAACCTCGAGGCGAAACCAGAAACAGGGCGAGCAATTGATCAGGAAGGTTTAAAATGACAATGGAGGAAGTAAGAATTGGAGCCAGGGAAGGCAGAAACGAAAATGGGTTGACGAAAGGAGGCGTTGCAGCACTGCTCGGCTAAAAAAATTGCTGCAGCAGACTGAAGAGATGGAATGACGGAAGAAATGTAGCGAAAGAACCGACAGGGTGAATATACACAAAACCCTAGTGCCGAGCATTACAATGGCGGAAATACCCCCAATGTTGCTCAAAATTCGATAGTGGCAACCCGCCAAATTTCACAAATTGGCGCCGCCACGTGTACACGCGAAAGAAATGGAAATTTCAGGAGCCTTCCTGCCTCCCTCCTCCACAAACCCCGCCCGGATCCTACATATTTTTCGAGAGAATGACATTAAAAATCTTAAAAATAAATTTTATTATAATTTAAATTTAAATAAATTTGATATTATTGTGCAAGCCTTGTAGCTTTTATTGTAATATTTCTTCACACCAAAAATATAATTTTATCCTTAATAAAAAAAAGAAAATTAAATGAAGAAAGGGAATGATAAGTGCAGGAATAGGTATTTAGCTGAAAGATGCATTCATTTCTGAGCTCTAATGGAGAAAAGTAATTTTTGAAGTGTGTAGATTTTAAAATCCCTCCATCTTAAGCCGTGCTTCTGGTGATTTTAAAATCTCAACTAGATGTTTTGAAAGTTTCTCATGTTTTGGCTTGCACAAGCTAAATGTTTGTTGAGCTGAAAGTTTTGCTAATGATTTAAAGGTTTCTTATGTTCTAGCTTGCACGGGTTATTATTATTTGGTGAGCTAAGTTTAGTTATTATTATTATTATTTGAAAATTTTCCACATTTTGGCTTGCACAAGGTTTGTCATTGATGCGTGTCAATTGATGGTGAAGTGACAATAAAGGTGATCTTCACTCATATAATATGTAGTAGTTTCATTTAATGAAAGCATTTAATGGGGGTTTTATATAAGGTAATAGAGTGCATATGAAATTGACTTTTTGTTGTACAAAATGTATTGTGATGTTGTCAAAATTAAAATTTTATTTGTGATTTTGCTACAAATACAAGCTAAAAGTTGCTAAATTATTTTGACCATAAAAGTTTTAAAGTGAATTAATTGTTGTACAATAATGATAGTTGACTTGTTCATGTTGGATTTTTACATGTGAACTTAATAAAATATAATCATTTTATGGAGAAAATTTACTGTAAAAAATGTTGAAGTATTTGTTATACAAAAATGAACTTTAAGTTGTTGTTGTTGAATGTTAATTTATGCATTTTGTTAAATCTAACTTAATGATAAATTTAAATTACATGTCTTTCAAGTGAGAGTATATAAACCTTGCGTCGCACATAGTAAATATTTTGCTGTGCACTATTTGCCTAACTTGAGCATTTTGTTAAACCAAACTCAATGATAAATTGGAATCATATAGACTTTCAACTTATAATATATGAACATTGTGTTGTGCATAGTGAATATTGTGTTGCGCATTATTTTTCTAATTTCAACATTTTGTTAAACTTAGCTAATGATAAATTAGAATCGCATAGACTTTCAAGTGAGAATATATGAACCATGTGTTATGTATAGTGAATATTATATTGTGTATTATTTTCCTAACTTAAACATTTTGTTAAGCTTAACTCACTGATAAAATATAATGGTATGGACTTTCAATTGAGAATATATGAACATTGTATTATGCATAGTAAAAATTATGTTATATATTGTTTGTTTATTTGTGCATTTTGTTAAACCCAACCGAATGATATGCACTAAATGTTGTTGAACCATTAAATTGGTTATAAAAGTTTTAGAGTAGATTAGTTGTTACACAATAGTAATGGTTGACTTGTTCATATTGAATTTTGACATGCGAATTGAATAAAATACGACTCTTAATGTGAAAAAAATATACTGTCAAAGACGTTAAGAGTATCTTTGTGCAAAAATGAACTTTGAATTATTTGTGTTGAACTTTGAGTTATGTAAAATAAAAGTTGGGCTTTTATATATGGACATTTACTTGGATTAACTTATTCATTGCAGATTAAAATAAAAAAAGATTTATTATTATTCAAGATGTGGGGAGGCCGGACACAGTCGCAAGACATGTAAGAATCTCAACCCAGCATGAGAAGTAATCACGTTGTTCCTTTTAAGCATACATAGAAAACTATAATTATATATATGGAAGCGTTCCTAAGTAATATTTGTCAAGTAATTGAGAATCAAAGATATTTTTTATTTATATATAAAGAAGCAACTGTTAGATATTTTAGATATAGTGGCTAGCTTTTTGTATATATTAAGCTTAAAATATCATATCAAATTTCATGTGAGTACTTGTTTTAATACTCAGGCCAGTACTGACATGAAATCCTTCATATATGATGTAATTGTCCTTCTTAATATTAAAAGTGTATGAACTTTATGTTGGATAGGTGTGGACATCGTTTGTGCATAGCGAATATAGTGTCATGCATGGTCTGTTCAACTTATCATTTTGTTTGAGTCTTGACTAGTGAAATACTGAAAATGCATGAACTTTTTATTAAACATGTATAGACACCGTCTTGTATATGATGGATGTTGTTTCGTGCATAGTCTATTTCGTTATTTCAAGAGTTCACTCCATTTTTGAATTCAAATCAAATGAAGGATAAAACTGCATTTTTGATGTGACGAAATATTGTAATAAAAGCATCAAAATTTGCAAAACAATATCAAATTTATTTAAATTTAAATTATAATAAAATTTGTTTTCAGAGCCTTTAATGTCATTTCTCCATATTTATTTGCTCAGAAAAAGGATCTTGATTGAAAATTTTATTTTACAAGAACATTTTATCCTTAATAAATTATTATAATAACATTTCCACCACTAGGTCTTCACCTTACCTGCTTGCTATACAAAACCCAATGGCTTACACCGTGACGGTGATGATTGATTAAGAATATTTTTTCATAAAAGTGAGAGTGAAAATAAAAACGAATGATAATAAAAGTAAAATTAGAGTTAAAAAATTTATTGAAAAAATAACACTAATTTTTTTTAATTATAAAATAATATTTTAATATTTTAAAATGTCATAATTTTTTTAAAAATTTTAAAAATTATTTTATTATTAAGAATTAATATAAATAACTAAACTATCCTTAATTCAAATATCAATTATCATACAAAATTTTATTTTAAAATTATAAAAATTCAACAATAATTCATAAATTTACATTTAAAATTTTGATATTTCTTAAATGTTGTAAATATCAATTGTCATTGATAAATTTTATTTTAAAATTTACAACTATTTTTTTAAATCGTAAGAGTTCAACCAAAATTTACAAAATTAAATTAAAGATAATCTAGTTATTTATATTAATTTATTAATTATAGAAAAGTCTTTCAAAATTTTAAAATAATGATGACATCTTGAAAAATTAAAATATTATTTATATAATTTAAAAAATTTATTATTATTTTTTAAAATTTATTTTATGTGTAGATGAAAATGAGAAAAAAATTTTGTATTTATAATTTAAAAAGACCAAAATACCCATTAAATTTAAAAACCAAAAATAGAAAGACCATGCCTAAATCAAGAAGTCCAGAAATTATACTTGACAACCCATGAAACCACCAGAAAAATATCCCGAAACCAATCTTACAAGCAAATCATCTCCTGCAACAGAACTAAATTTTAAGAATCTATCATGATGAGTAAGCCACCGAGAACAATAGTTCTTATCCTTCAAAATTAAGAAAAAGACCTGGTGATTTGCTCGTGTCAAAAATTGAGAGTAACTTCAATCAAAATCTTGGTTCAAAAAAACTTCAATCAAAATCAATCAATAACCCAGAAAAAGACCACCATCGCTGCTAGAAATAGTCCAGATATTAAGAAAAAGGTGGAGATAAAAAAACCATAAATCAAAGAGCAAGAAACAGAAAATTGAAGCAGATCGAAGAAGCATATTAAAAAAATGAAAAAGGTGGAGACCGAAAAATTGTTGGAGAACGTTTAACCACCGTCATCGCTGGCTGGGAGGCGCCGAAGAATTGTCCCTGGTAGAGAAGCGTTGCCGTCGTCGCTAACGGAGAATTGTTGCTGTCGTCTCTGGTGGAGGTTCACAGTTGGAGATCTGGAGATCGACGACTTCCCCAAGGAATGCTTGAATCGCTATTGATGGTCTCTGGTTTGAACCACCAGTGACCGCAACACATCCTCGTCACCGTACGGAATTGTTCGCTTCTCTTGCTCGTTGAATGTTCGAACCCCTTAAGGGGCAAAAGTGTCCACAAATTTGAGTTGGAAGCACACTTGTTTCATTGGGTATGTGATGGAACTTGGGCCTCGTTTGGTATGATAGAAAAGTTGTTGATGAAATAGAAATTAAAATTAAAATTGAAATCAGAATCAAAATTAAAATAGAATTGAGTTTTAAAAGTATGTTTGGTATGTTAGAAAAAGTAGATGAAATCAGTACACTATTTTTATTTGGTATGTAAGACATGAAAATAGAATTATACATAAAAGACAAAAAATACCCCTAAAAATTAAAATTAAAATAAATATATATTAAAAGTTTCATTGTGCTTTAATTTCTTCATGTATTTAGTATATAAATAAAATATTATACATAATGGTAAATATATATAATACAAATATATATTATAAATATACAAATATATATAATACTGTATTATATATATATATATATTATATAATTTATATAAAGACTTTACATCCATAGTAACACCAGAATAAAGAATAAAGAACACAAAAAAAAAGTAGCTAAAAAAGAAAAAAAAAGCTAACGAAACAAATTTAACCGCTGTCAATTTTTTTTTTTTTTTTTTGTCGAAGTCAGCCACCACATTTTGAAGACCAGAAGCTTCTGATGCACACAAGGCTCACACTCATGATTTACGAGGCAAAGTTGTGAATTCAATTTTTTATGAAGATAAAATTGTCTTAAAAAATAAAATTATATGGAATTGGTCGAGATTCCATAGCTTTAAGTAGGAAATTTAATTCAGACTTTTTTTATGAAATTAGGATTTATGAGAGTTCTAATTCATATGCACTAAACATCTCTTTGTTAAGATTACTACTCCAATTTCATTTTCATCTTTAAAATTCAACACTACCAAACAGGCCCCAGTTTCTGTGATTTTAGCAGAATCCACTTCCCTAAAGAACTGGAATGATGCATACGGAACATTTAAAAAAAATAAAAGAATTTAACTTCCACTTTCACTTTTTTAGTAAAACAAAAAAAACTTTCAATCTCACTTTTCTCTCTCCAATTCCATCATACCAAACGGAAAATTAAGCAAAGCCACTCAACTTGCTGCACTGGAGGATCTGGCAGTCACCATTGAATGCCAATCAATCAATCATCTTCACGTTATCCCCCTCCGTCGCACTGCTGGCCAAGGAAAAAAAAAAAAAAAAAAAACCCTCCCATCACGCAAACGCTTCCTTTGCCCTCGGTCTTTATTTCTTTGAATACCAAATCATGCAAAAAAAATTTTAACACCCGGAATTATCTTTTATCTTCAAGTTCAATTGCAACATGAAAAAAAAAAAATCATTAAAACACAAATCATACATACGTGATTTATCTTTATAACCAACTCATTATTCACTATGTTAAAAGAAATTAAAATCGATCAGTTCTAAGTCAAAAGCACATCAATTAAAATTGAAGTTGCAATGGACCAAACGGGGAGGATCGAACCGGGGTCTTCAGGTTTAAAATTTAGGTTAAGCTATGCCAGAGTTTATAGAGAAATTCCAGGCAAAAAATTTGATTCCGCCTCATGCCCATTCCCTGTGTTTCCCGCTCCCCAGGGGAGTAGCACCAAATATGACAAACGTCTTAATCGACAAAACGCTGGAGAGTTCAAACCATTGAATAATTTAAACTGCAACATAATCGAATCAGCAGGACCCCACTTGTAGTCAAGAGGTTGAAGGAAAAATCGAAAGATGCAAAACGCAAATGGAGTTGCGTTTGAAGAGGGGTCAGCCCTCATAGCAACTATACATAACATTTGAGAATACATCAGAGTTCTTCCACATGGTTTTCTAAAGACTAAAGAAATTTCACATACCAATTTAATACGACTATCTAGAGAAGAACGAAATGAATAACAAAAGCTTCAGAGTAAATTTCATCCACCAAAACGCTCAAGAGAAGAAGGAAAGCAAAGCAAAAACTCCCAACATTTGACAAAAACACCAAACTAACAACGGGAATTTACCGACTCAATGTATAACAATAGGAGGAAAAATCAAGACTCCACTAAATTTATATAAATGCCAGAACACCGGGAATGATGACCTGGCAAAGAACTAAAGTATAATTCCGGAGCGGCAACAAACCAAGCCAGTCATCTAACTCCCCATGACATGTGTAAAACCAGCTGTTGCAAAAACCCAAGCCGGCCCAGCAACCTTCTATTTACCAAGGCTGGATCCCCATAGGACCCAGAGTGCAATGATGGCATGGACTTGATTCCAAACTGTTGTCCCGTCTTACGAAGGAATATCCATCGGTACACCAGCCAAGAATCTTGCAGTTAACGGAGTTCCAAATAATGTCAATGCAAATAAAGGTAAACACTGAAAACAAGCAAGTGGCAAAACTTAATTTTATAATTTTATAAACACTGAATTTAGAGACTAAACTAAAGAATGCCAAGCCAAATTTATGAAACATGGTATAAATACCTTCAATTAAAGTTGAATCCCCCAGAAGGCACTGCAGGAACCTCAGAACCACCAAAGTTGAACCCTGACCGGGAAGTGTCCCCTGGAGGCATAGTCTCATCTTCTTCCTCCAACCAATATGTCTCCAGAATTTTCACTGCCTTCTCATAAATCTCAGTGTTATCATGACTCTGTAGATTCTCAATTTTCTCCAAACCCTCAGCATCATCAATCAATTGGGCGTATAGATTCACACCCCCAGTATTGCCCATATTTTTATCAGCTTCTCCCACCTTCAAAATGTTTTCAAGCCCCTCCAGGCAAACAGTCACAATTCTAGCATCAGGGCAGATGAGAAGATCACACAAGGGCTTAATACACCCTTGGCTTACCAGGTACCTGTCAATCAAGGAAATAAAATTGATAGCATCTTACAAAATTGTAACACCATTAAATCCCAGGGAAAATTACAAGAAGCTCCTTCCCATACTTGATCTGATCATGAGATCCACCAGATGTAGCATTAGAGATAGCCCACGCAGCCTCTTTCTTAATATCAAACTCCGCATTTTGAAGAAGATGAACGAGAGGACCAATTATATTAGCTTCAATTACAGCCTATACAAGAGAAAAAAAAAATACATACATTTTTCTGTCAGCATGAGGCCAGAAAAACTACATCACAATTTTCAAGCATCCCAAAACGTCATTACAGCAGAAATGAACACAAGAAACTTGAACAAACCTGAATCTGTTGTTTGTTCCCAGCTGTGATATTTGATATGGTCCAACAGGCTTCCTTCTTTATGCTTTTTTTATAGTTGTTTGTTAATAGATTCAAAAGACAAGGAAGTGCTTGGTGGTTGATGATAACCTATACATGAACAGAAGCACATTAAGACCAAAAAAAAAAAAAACCTAAATAGTGGACGAGGTCAACTCTCTTCCATGACTTAACACATAAATTCAGTAGAGGAGTCCTACATGGGCCACACTTGAAGAAGTCTTAGACAAAGAATCAAGTTAAATTTATCTCTTCTGCTAGTCAAGATTAAATTTCAACACTGCTCACCAATCAAAATACACATTAGAACAAGACACTCCTGGACAATACCTGAGTCTGCATATCATCTCCAGTGACAATATTTCCAACTGTTCGAAGAGCAGGAATAAGCACAGAAGGGGATGGATGCCTGAATAAGAGCAGAGGATTAAAAATTTCTTGCCACCCTAAATTACATTGCATTGATGGACAATCATTAAAGAGAGCACGAGCACTCACAACAAAAGCTCAACCAGCCGGCCACACACACCAGCTTCAATTACAGCTTGAATTTTGTCATTGGTACCATCAGAAAGATATGAAAGTGCCCAGCAAGCATCAGTCAAGACTTCTTCATCATTTGAGTGGATAAGACGGGCAAGAGCAGGAAGTGCAGGTTTTACCTGTGGAAACCAATGAACGGGTGAACGGACGCATTAAATGAAAGAAAATTTTTTGAAACCATCAATGACCCACCAGTGTTCCAGTACAAGAACAATAATGTTCAACAAGAAAAATCAACTAATATGACAGAAATCTCTCATAGCTACCCCTTCTTGCAGCACAGACATCAAGCAAATGTAAATTTCAATCATAGTTACCACTAAATAACGTTGCACTTGCTCACCACGGCTAAGAAATTAATAGAAGAGCACAATACCAGGATGAGGGAGGCAAAAGAAAATTAAGGAGACAATTAATCTTTTAATTCCTTAACTTTTAACTCACTTGTAATTCAGTCCCTCAACTATGACTCGTTGCGACTCAGTCCCTCAACCATAACTCGCTATGACTCAATCCCTCAACTTATAATTCACTTATAATTTGGTCCTTATTTTTTAATTTTTTTTAAAAAAATTTCTTATCAAATAAGAGGGATAAAAAAATGCTCATATATTATTCTAAAATACCATCCTCTTGCTCATTAATGTGAGATCTAAGTTAACATGAAAAAAAAATTAACAAAAGTTGAGGGACTAAATTATAAGTGGTTCAAAAGTTGAGGGACTGAGTTACAAGTGAATTAAAAATTGAAGGACTAAAAAGATTAATTTTTCCAAAATTAAGAAACATGTCAAGACATCAAACTCAGCCAGACATTGAAAATATTTCAAATAAAAGCGATGAGGCCTTCAGTGGAGAAGTGAAAGTGACAACATTAGGCTGTTTACATCCCAACCGGTGCCTCCTGATTCCAGAAAAAGAGAAAAAAAGAACATAGAGGGGGGGGGGGGTGGAGACCAAAACCCATCTTATACCTGTTCAAAAGGAGGTTGTGGCTTGCCCCTGCAGAAATTTGAAAGCGTCCATGTAGCGTTTCTCAACATAGAAAGCTTAGCTTGCTCATTCAACTGTGTCAGCAGAGGAACCAAGGCCCCGTGACTGAGAACAAGATCACGGCACCTGGGAGAATCTCCAGCAACATTCCCTAATGCCCACACAGCCTGTGACACCCCAACAAACAGGGCAATAAAAAGAGGTCAAATTATCTGAAGTTATGCAAAGATGGCACTCCCAAGGTATTCTCATGCTAATGGTCAACTACACATCAGTAACACTCATAACTCCAGGCACTAAGCCCAGCCACTTTTTTCCCAGACAGATATTTGCCCAAGCACGTAAAGAACTAAAGACAACATTCTCCAATTCCAAAATCATGAAGAACTAAAACAAAAGCAAAATTAATAAAGGCCCATAAATATATTCTTCCCATTTTCTCCTAATTTCCCCTTTACATCGGGAGACAAGGGCAAATTAAGACACTTTATATAAATTGAACACCTGTTCGCAGACTTTGTGCCTTGGAGAACCAAGGAAATGAAAAAAGGTCAGCATCACAATAAATATATTCATTCCATTTTCTCCTAATTTCTCCCCTATAATGAGAGAAAAGTGCAAACTAAGACATTATGTAGATAAATGATGCACCTGTTCGCGGACATCATCACTTGGAGAACCAAGGAGCTTAACAAAAATCGGGACAGCACCATGATCGATCACCACTTTAGTGTTTTCAGATGTTCCAGAAGCTATATTCGTCAAAGCCCAAGCTGCCTCAAACTATAGTATAAATTTGATTGTGTCATGGCCATACATATGCCAAAATTGGGGGGAGGGGAGTAAGTTTATAATGGTAGGTGACAAACCTGCAACTGAGGAAAATCTTCTCTCATCAAAAATTCAACAAAGCGAGGAACTACACCAGCTTGAATAACCTCCTCAATTGGCGGACTACGCTCTGTCAAACATAAATCAAGTTTATCAAAATTGACCAGAAATTAAACAGTCAAAAAATATTATATAAAACAGTAACAAACCAATTGAAAGCAACTTCCGAAACTGAGTTGTTGACTCAAGCTGCAGGTTATGATCATCTGTCCAAACGCCTGCAATCATGGACGGTAGGTGTTCCAACTGCAGCAGGATAGCAACTATCAATAACATTGGTTCACAATTCTTATAAATACACATAATCACAATTAAGCCTGGAGGCAAAAAAACTGAGTACAACACCAACAGATTTCAAATTGTGAATAAAGTAAAGGTAAATGGTTTCAAACCCATTTTTCCACACTCATTAGCCCATTACAATATTGTACGTTTCCATTTGTACAAAATCCCTTGCCCCAACCTCTAATATCACATTCCAATAAACCTATGTCAATATAGGCAACGACCAACAATGAATTATATAGTCCACAGGCAACTTATAATATCAAAAACCAGAATTCTAATTGGACAATTTACATAATAATCACCTATTTCACTAAGGCTAAGAATATTCACGCAATTCAAGCTAAAACTACGCTGAAAATTAATTTAAATAGGAATGAGACAAGCATATGGGACAACATGATCATGTCGACTCTGCTGGCTGAAGGCGCAAAATGACAACTCCGATGATCATGGTGACGCCCAGCTCACACAGAACAGTTAATTGTTGATTTAAACAAGTAACCGTAGAATATAAAAGCATAAATCAAACAAGCTTCCATCTAAATAATTCCTATCAGTTGTCTTTCAATGAATAGAAGTCGACAAAATTCACCTTCTTCTCTACGGCAGTAGAGTGTATCGAAGCAGGCATCTGCTGAGCTTGAAGGCCCTCGCGCCTCTTCTTCTGCAAACTCTCTTCCCTACGGTTCTTTCGGATCTCGACCATGGTATCCTCTCGCCGTCTCCGACCTTCTTCGGCATCTACGGCCACCTTGTATCGATTCCGACGGACCTCGGTCCTGGAGTTACCGGTAGGTCGATACGACATATTGACGGTATCGAAGAGAATCAATTAACAAAGCCTCGTAAACGCGATCGAGGGTAATCAGCAATTTTGCACGTTCGGGGAACCGTAGGGTTTCGGATATGGTAAGAAGGACGGGTGGAGAGAGGGAGGGGTTTAGAATTCTCAGGGTTTGAAACGCATAGCCATAAAGACCAGAAAGGCAAGAGAAAGGCTTATATAAGAAAGGGAGACGACAGGTGGCAAGGAAACAGGACTTGGATCGGCTAACATTTGCGGAAGTGCCACTGGTTTCGAATTTGAACGTTGGGATGAAGCAACTGGAAGTGTCCTCCCCGCGTTAGCGCCGTCAAGTTTTTTCTGCGGTGCGCCATGGATTGGGCTAGGGCTTCGGCTAGATTTGCCTGGACCAAATCCTCAGATCTTTTGGGCCGCACTTTTCGCTCTCCACATTATTCTTTCATCATCCTCTTCTCATGGCCAAGTGAGACGTGAACAAAATTCTTCTACGACCACAGGGAAAGAAAAAATGTCTGTTTCAAAACCTGAAGTGCCAAAAAGAAATAAAAATGATCCTTTCCGATAAAATTGAAAAGATACAGAAAGGATTAGTATGATCCCTATGCAAGGATGACACACACAAGTTGAGGGGGAAAAAAACGGGAGCTTTATATTTGTAATTTATGCGACATGTCAGTGTGACAGTGTACTGTATCATATTGTTACAATTTGGTTGGCAAAAAAAAGTGTAATTTGCAGCATTTCCGCTGCCGGCCTCTATTGCAAAGGGGGTTAGACGAGCGCAGGGTTTCATGATGGAGTGAGGAGCAGAAATAATTAAGATGGATCGATGCCATCTGTTATTGGTGCTCTCGGCCGCGATTAGTTCTTTAAAATATAAAATAGAGTAAACTAATGATAATGATAAATATATGGGGAAACGTGCGGCTATGCACGTTGATATTATCGTTTGTGGTTTGAGTTTGTTGCCTGCGCAGAATTAGTTGTGAAAACAAACATGATCGCTGCCTGGTTTGAATTATAAAATAGGTATGTAGGGGTTATTAAACCGCGAGCAACTGCTTTCGGGCGCGAAGGAAGTCACGGGGTTGCGACGTGCTTGTCTGGGCACTTGAAATCAAAATGACAGGGACCTTTCCAAGGGAACCAGAGGGATGCTAAGCTTGGAGTGGATGGTTCCGCAGCGATGGAGTGACTTGTAACAAATTGAAGCAACTACAACTTGGTGACTGATAGAGTTAATAATAAGGGTTAAATTTAAGAGATTAAATCCGAAGACCCTATTTAAATAAGAGTTTGGGGCTTTAAAATTTATTCTTTTAAGCAACCGAGTTTAAGAGGCTAGTTTTAATAAGCTTTGTAAAATAGAGCTTGGACTCAAATAACTCTTCAAACTCTACTATTTTTTTTTTAGTGGAACATGAAATACATGCTCGAACTTTGAAGTCACATACATATCGCCTGAAGCCCTCTCTAATCCTAATTCTTGAACTGCGCGTGAACCCTAATCACTCCTCACCTTGAACCTGCGTTCTTTTCTCCCTCAACCTCATCCTATCGCTCTCGCCCTCAGCCCTCCGCCTTACACCTCTTGTTCTTGTGATATATTTAAATATTTTATCTTGTAATATATGTTAGTGTGTATATTTAATAATGACACAATTTTGTTAATATTTATTGCAGGTGAGAAGAAAATGATTGAAGAGTATATTGATGTTAAAACTCTCTTACCTTCAACAAATGAGCCTACTTTTAAGGGTTTTAATGTTTTATTTATAGATGATAAGGATGAAGAGAGTTGGGTTTTGATTGATGAATGTTATAATTAATTTAGATTTCTAAATGTATGTTATTTAATTTCTAAAAATTATAAAAATTTAATTTTTTAAATTTTAAAATATTTTAATTAATTTAAATGGTTAATTTTATTTTACTTTTATTTTTATTTTTGGAACAGGGCTTGAGAGACCAGCCCTAAGCTCTTCAAACAAGAACCAGGCATCAAAAAATGGGGTTAAAAATAAAAAACTAAATTTAAAGATTTAAGTTTATAATAATTGAGCCGGTTTATTTTTTCAGCTCTAACGACTAGTGTAGTGAAAAGCTATCTTGGCTGAAGACTGGGAGCATAGGAACGAGCATCGTGGATGTTCGTGGCTCAAGGCAGGCCAATCAGGACTGTCCTTATTTTGACATCCTAAGCACAGCTATAATCATTCCCACCAGGGGTTGGAACGTCGTCTTGTATTTTTTTCATCATACGTCACATAATCCTTCCCACCAAGGGTTGGAACGTCTTCTTGAATTTTTTACCTCATACATCATAATTAATCTGCTTTTATCAAAATAAATTATTTTATATTTATTTTAAAATAAAATACTTTATTAAATAAAAATAAATATAAAAGTATAACATTAGTTTAAAAATAATTAACTATTTTATTGAGAGATAAAAGTCAATTAAAAATATTTCATATTTTTTAACGAAATAAGTAGTATATATTTTCAAATTTCTTGTATTTTTTTGTTCACCCAATCAATCACCCCCTCTTTTATGATCCGGGCTTTCAAAATTTCTTGTATCTTTTTTCTTTTAAATATGTGATGCAGCCCCTATATAACACACACACACACACACGACTTGATACGTATATAAACTGACTTGATCCTCTCATCCGCCCCTCCTCCGTTTGTATGATTCAACAAACCAGGATACCAATAAAGATTGTAATGGTATTTTTACAGGCCTATAACTTCATTGGGAAAGAGGTTACAAGACTGTAGAGGTCTATTGTGATAATGTATATGCTATTTCAATAATTACAAGGAATAATTATAGTCATCACCCTTTAAAAAATACCATTGATGCTACAAGGAAATTGCTGTAGTATAGGAATTGGTCTGTGAATTTTAATTTTATGTTCAAGGAAGACAATAGAAAAGCTGCCTATTTAGAGAAGTTGTGTCATAGTATCCCTACTGATTCTCTTTATGAGGTGCCACCACAGATAGGATGTTTGAGTCTCAAGGGTGGTGCCGGTTTTGTTTTTTTTTTTCTGTGGTTTTTTTCCTTAGCTTTCCCTGTTTGTTTCTGTCTTTGATTTCAGTCTTGAATGAAAGTTACCCGGTTTTATTCAAACAAATATTATAATGGATGGTATAATTTACTTTTTATGTCACTCTTATTATGCAGCACATAAAACCTGCTCTCACTGTATTCCGAATCGTTGATTTTACGATCAAATATTGGGAGTAACTTGGTGGCGGCCTGAGGGGGCGAATATTGCATGGGATGAAAGGATAAGGAGGCTTAGAAATTATTGAAAACAAATAAAGAGGAATTCAAATTTCTTTTTTATTTTAAAGTTTTTTGGCCACTGGTTTAAAAGATGCAATATCACCCGCTCAATAGTTTAGAGGTTGTTCTAATTTTCTTCAATTTTAAATTAAGTTCATGTAATTTATTTTATTTTAAAAACATTTTAAACTTTTGATATTTACAATGTTTATAAAAATTAAAAGGGCTAATAAATTAAAATATTAATTATAAATTTTAATATAATCTTAATCTTTATAATTTTATTTTTTAAGATATTGTATGGACTAATATTTAAACTATTGAAATTATAAAGACTGAAGTGTAAAAATTACAATTTTAAAAATGAGTTATAATTAACTTAAAATTTTAAAAATTGAATTCCAACAAGCCACAATTTAATATCAAATTATTAAAAAAATTAAAATTTTAAAGATTGAATAATTAATTTTTTTAATAAACAAAGAAGAAGGAAAGCGGTGGGTGGACCACGAGACCAGCTGGGTCCCAGGTACACCGACGTTAATAATCTTTCTATGTGGGTCCCATGAACTGGATGCAGCCCCTCTGCCTCGACCCCATTCTACTACGAATTATGAGCGTGAATTTGCTTTGGTATATCCCGCTTCTGTCCCAACAATTTATACATGCCTTACACGTCTCCAAACATGGCCATTAAATCCACGTGGGCGCCCAACAAGAGCTCTACGCTAATCCTCAAACATAATCAGTGCTCTATGGAAAATGGATTCAATAAAAAGCTGACAGAACAACAATAAGCAAATAAATAAGAAGAGAGGCTTGAGTTTATTTGATTCAAATGTTCCAGAACACAGCCCAATTCCTCCCGACTCCCCCATCCGAATTAAATGCTAGAATTTGACATTTCTGCTGGGGAAGTTTTTAGCCATTTTAAAAGAAAAGGGTAAAAACTACAAGAACACCACGAATTCAACCCTAGCGGCGAGAGTTGCTGCGCTTAGCCGCGTTGCCTGTTGGTGTACTGACACGTCCTCTCTTGCCACTCGTTTGATCATTCCTCGACTCGAAGCTCATCTCATCTCCACCAACCATTTCTACGAACATCCTCTGCAGATCTTCCAAACTGTTCCCCTATTCATCGTCATAAGTATAAAACCAAAACAAAAAAAAAAATCCCCGTTATGCAAACCTTTACCAATTCCTCTTGTCATGCCATTCTTCTAACCAAGAAAATTATGATCAATCAGACAGCAGTACCTCGTCCTTCACATTGTTCATCATCGAGATCATTTCGTTCATGAAATCGCAGAATTCCTGATCCCGTGGTTAAACACGCAAAACAATGATTAATTAGTTAAAATTTTAATTTACTAGATGTAAATATCTACTACAAAGATACCAGCTTTAATTTTAAAAAGCACGCCCTGTTTTTTTTTTTTTTCCCACATTAACTACGCCGAACACAGAGGCCAAGATGGGCGATGAACGCAACGGAAAAAGAGGGGAAAATAAGAATTTATTACCGAGCACAAGGCGAGACAAACGATATCATCGTTTCGGCGTACGCCCAAACGACAAAGGTTTTACCTCGCCCTGTTTACGGTACAGCGTTTGCCTGAGCTATATAAAGGAAACTATACGAACTTCGTCTTCTTCTTCTACTAAAGGATCGTAGAACCCGGCATCGTACATTGACCTTTTAGATTGATCGGAAAGAACTGCAACAGGAACACAGGCGTGAGTTTTGTTTGTTGATCCAAGGTTGAGTTTGGCTTTACAACAATGAAGTCGTGTTAATGTAACCTGAGTAAGCTTCTTGAATTTGCTGGAATCGCCGTTTGGCTTCTCCAATTATTGCAGTGTTTCCGGCCCATTTGTCCGGGTGCCACTTCTTCTCAAGCACAACACAAGATAAAATTAAAAAAATTCAAAATTCAAATTGCCCTCTACCGTTTATTACAAGTAAACTCTAAAATTAATCAGGGTGGGCATTAAGAGCAGAGCAAGACGAATATAAGCTTGAAGTAATTATAAATCTCTGTCAAAAACTACTGCACAAAATATTTCCAAGACTCGGAAAACAAAAGAGATGTCGAATTATATTGTTTGACAACAAGAAAAATAATTGAAAGAGTAAGGAAGAAGAACAGAAAGCAGCGAGACAGCGGCGTATTATTACCAGAGCGAGATTCCTATAAGCGGTGCGAACATCGGAGAAGGAGGCGTCCCTAGGAATGCCGAGGATGGAGTAGTAGCTGGATCCATCGTTGGATCCTCCCTCCGGATCCATGGAAGGAGCAGACCAAGAGAAATGCTGCACCAACAGGTTCGACCAGAAGACAAGAGGAGATTAAAGCGGCCGAAACCAGCTCCAATCAGGAAACAATTTTAATGATGAAACTAGACAGAATGCAGGAGGAGAGAAGCGTGAATTTTAGGGGATCGAAAAGGGGTTGGGGGAGAGAGGGAGAGGAGCGAGAAAGATTGTTGAGGAAGGGAGAGAGAAAAAAATATCTCGTCCGCCACATTAGACCAGAGGAAGATATCAGGGAAGAAAGTTCGAGACATTTCAACTTGCAAGATAGATATTTTTGTCACAAGAAACGAAACGCCAGGTTTTAGCATGGGAGAATCACGGTACCTATACAACATCTAATCCTTTATTTAAAAATATAAAATATTTTTAATTAAAATTTATTTTTTTATAAAATAATTACTTACTTTTCAACTAACTTTATCTTTTTATATCTATCACTATTAAAAATCCTATAATATATATAAAGTCATTAATAATAAATGTGTTTTAAAAAAAAAGACAATTATTACATCTTAAAAGATTAAAAATATTTTATATTTTTAATATTCAACTCCTTAAAAAATACCTTACATTTTTAAATAGAAAAACTATATCATTTAAATTAAAATTTGAGTGATGTAAATTTGATAGATTATTTTATATTTATTAAAATAAAAATTATAAAAAAATTATAATGAATTTTTTTATTATTAATTAAGTATAAATTTAATTTGGAGCGTCTCATTTGATTTTGAAATTTTATATATTTACTTTCCAAATGTATTTTATATAGTATAAATTTAAAATTTTTAATTTATAATTTTTAAAAAAATTTAAAAATTATTTTATATTTTTATTAATTTTGAATTATGTAAAGTACATATGAATAATGAAAATAAATAAATATAAAATATTTTAATATTAAATTAAATTGAATCCTATAAATTAAACTTGGACCTTGTTGATGATAAAAAAATTCATTACAATTTTTATAATTTTTATTTTAATAAATATAAAAAAATTAATTAAATTTAAATTATTCAACTTAAAATTTAGATGATTCAAATTTTATTACTTTGACGAGGGATGATGAATGGATCCTTCACTTATGAAACTTTTAGAGAAGAAATACTCTATCTGTTTAAAAATATAAAGTATTTTTAACTGAATCTCACTCATAATAAATTGATTATTTACTTTTAAATTAACTCTATCTTTTCATATATATCCCTGTTAAACATTTTTTAATAAATATAAAGTTATTATCAATAGGGACACTTTAAAAAAAGCAATAACTATACTTTAAAAGACTACGAGTATTTTATATTTTTTAATATTTAACTCTTTTAGGTAGAGAGAGTAATTAATTTTTAGACCCAATACAATTGATAATGTTAGGAAAGCTCAAAGATCTAATATGCGATTAATTTTAAAATTTAAAAGACTGAATTGTCCATAGCATTTGAAAAATAGAACCCATTAGAAAACAAAAGATTCGTGCTACCCCTCTCTTCTTCACGAACATTTTCATTTTCAACCTTCATCTTTCTCATAATTATCTTGGCCGTTCGCTCCAAAGTTCATGATTTTTATATGATATTTTCTTTTTTTTTTCTCCAGCAAATATATGATATTTTCATTCAATAAATCCATAGACTCCACCTTTCTTTCTTCCCAATAGTAGAGGCAGGGAAAAAAGTACCGAATGAAGCATTCCAGAAAAAAAAATAAAAAATTAACGTATACTTTCTCTACTTAGAAATATAAAATACTTTTAATTAAATTTTATCTCAATAAAATAATTATTTATTTTTAAACTAATCATATTGTTATATATTCACCCCTATTAAATATATTATAATAAATATAAATCTATTATTAATATGAGCACTTTTTAAAAAAGATAATGATTACACCCTGAAAGACTAAAAATATTTTATATTTTTTAACATTAAATATTTTTAAAAATACCTTATATTTTTTAACAAAGGGAGTACAAGTTTCTATGGAGTCATCTTCCATGAAGCATTAGGCTTCTAATAAAATCTGAACCATCTAGATAATTTAATTTGAATAATTCAAGCTTAAAATTTTAAATTATATTTTTATTTTATATTTAATAAAATAAAAAAATTATAAAAATTTAATAAACTTATCTATAAGTAACTAAATAGTTTAGATTTAATTTGAACTAGCCAATTTTAATATTAAAAAATTTTATAATTTTATAAATTGACTATACAGATTTTTTGGATAATTTAAATTTAAATTTTTAACTAATAAATTTTTTATAAAATATTTTTTAAAGTAACAATTAAGATATTATCTTTATTTTTAATATTTCATTTATTAAAATAAAAATTAATGTTAAATCTTTGACTATTCAAAATATATCTAAATAAATAATTTAAAAAATTATAAAAATATTAAAATTAAATTGGATGATCCTGATTAAAACTGTATTGTCTGATTGATGAAAAATTATTTTTTAAAAAAATTTGTAAAATTTTTTAATAAATATAGATATAAATATGAACATGAATAAAAAATTAAAAAAGGTTTTCATCATAAGCATACTCGGACCCAAGTTTTTACCAACCAAGAAAGCGGCCCTTAGGCCATTTTCACCCTTTTTTTCAATAGAAAAGGACCCAAAAAAAAAAACGGACGTGACAGATGCGAGCAGCAATAAACATGACAGCACAAAAATTAGGGGTTTCGATGGAACCTATCAGTTGTGGCAGTGGGGAGATCGACATCAGCAGCAGGGACGCCTGATGTTTCGTTCTTGGAAGTGTCATTACTCGTTGTTGCGACTGTTTGGAAGGCGAGAAAATGAGATAAAAAATGAAGGAAGAAGCAAGAAAAAAAAAGTAAAGAGAGAATCTTTTGCTGCTAATTTTTTTGGAGGGTTCTTCATTTTAAATTTTTTCAAAAAAAAAATTGAACTTTGGAGCAAATAGCTAAGGAAGATCACGAGAATATGAAAGTTGAAGATGAAAATCTTTGTGAACAAAGTGAAGGGTAGTACAGATTTTCTGTTTTCTCATGGGTTCCATTTCCTAGAGATCAGGGGCAATGTTGTCTTTTGAGTTTCAAAATTGATGGCATTTAAGGCTTTTGGACCTTCGTAGCATCATCAGATTGTCTAGGGCTTGAAAAGCAATTATTTTCTTTTTGAGGGTCCTGGATGCGATTTTCCCTTAACTTACTTCTGTTTTTGGTCAAGATCTTACATGACTCTACTCCTGCCCTAGCCGATTCAATTAAAAGGCCTACAATACAAGACAACATGCAAATGTTGTTTTTTAAATATAAAAGGCAACATGCACGATCACGATTGTCATTGCAGACAGAGCCCCATTATCTTCACAGCCCAAACTTAAATTGCAAGATGTAAAGGCAAACCAAACATGTTGGGTATAAATTAAAAGCATAATAGAAGACATTGCAATTAGCGGCAGAGAGATGTTAAGAATTTGAAAGCAACTCCAATCTTAATCCACATCATTTTGCTTTTGCGTTCGCTGGGGGTTGAACTTGAAGCAGCCGCGTCAGGATTAAAGAGTGGCTGAGAAGAACAGCAGCCAAAGTCTCCTTCCAAGTACAATTGCTCAAATGATGAGGTGGCCCACCAATCAAACTCTTGCCCTGGTCAGCAGCAAATTAGTTAAATCAAAACAATTAATGTGCTTTAACTCATGTGCATCATTAAAATTTGAACAAGTGTTTGTATGGCTGGCCGGCTGTCTCTTTTACCTTGCTCAGCCGGTGGGCCGCCAGCGCTGAACTGCGCAGCTTGTAGATTATTCTCCAATGCTGACCATGGCTTGAAATCTCCCTCATTTTCATAAGCTTCCTGCTTTGCTATTTCCACCAGAAGCTGCATTCATCAGCACAGCATGAGGGATCCACTCTATCACTTCCAACTAATTAAGCATCCATTGATTTAAGGTAGAGAACTAGACTGATTATATCTTAGGATCAATTGCAAATTATGCCTCCCCCCAAACGGATGAATCGCACAATTTACACCGTGCTTTGCATTGAAGGAGGTTGATAAATTGGAGAATGAAAATGAAATGAACACGCTTTGTGATCGATAACTTCACCCACAACATGCACTTAAAAGGCCCAAACTTGCGTTGAAAATATTACACTATATAAAGATTATAGACAAAAACTAAATCAAACTATTCTATTTTATTTATAAATTACTTTTAATATTTTTATTGAAATAAAAAACCTTAAATCTTATTAATTTTGTTTAAAAATTTAAAAATTTTTGAACTTTATTCTTATTAAATATATCTATTTTAAAAATAAAATACTCTAACATTTAATAATCTTTTTAACATCAAACAAGAGCAAGAGAATAAAAATAAATATAATAATTATTGAGATGTCTTATAAATAAAATTAAAATAAATTTTTTATCTCTGCTTTATAAACGAGATCAGAGAAGTATCTTTTAAGCCTCAACGAATCAAAAACAAAAAAATCAAAGAATATAGCAAAAATTTAATCTCCCATTAATTAAAGACACCTGTGGATGCGTGGAAACGGTTATGAATATGCGTACCTTCTCATCCGAAGTGAAAGTTTCCGGTGAACGATAAGTCTGACCATTATCGAAGCTCACCATCACAACCTCATAGATGGAATTAAAGACGAAGCACAGCGGTCCTTCTGCTGCGCAATAGAGGTAACGCTCCTTATCGTCAATAACACACGCCCTAGCATTTTTAATTATATCCTGCCATTTACCGCTCGGAATGTTGCTAAATTTCTAGGTGTCGGTAGTCAAATAAGTAAATATATCAGTAACGTAGGTCAAAGTCCAGCATTTGAGTCAATTAATTAATAAAAACTAAGGAAATAATATACAGGGAGATATAAAATGTTTAAAAGATGATGGCACCTCTCTTAACAAAGATGGATTGATTGTGTAACGTTGCAGAAGAATCTTGACTGTTTCTATTCCTTCAACTGACATCTGTTTGTGAGTTCGCCCACCTTTCCCTATGTGTTTCAAGCGCCATACTTCACTATTCAAGGACGGTCGTTCGAGTTTCATGATGGCTGATTCAGCGAATCAAAAGAGTTTATAAATAGACGAAAGAAGGTCATGTAATATGGATATGTGTGGCATGCAAAAGAGAACAAGACTTTTACACGCACCTCTTTTATCTTTGACGGTAAAAGGCTGGCTAGTAGCTTCCATAACGTTTGCTTCTTTGGATTTGGCTGCTAATCTGAAGGTTCCGCTTCTTAACCAGCTTGAGTTATCAGTAAACTCAATCTCATTACGAATTGAACCAACTCCATCTTTTAGTGTGATTCCTGTATCTCCTTTCAGAAGTGCCTTTTTTCCTTCTCTTGGTCGTAAGATGCTGTCAACGAATTTCTCCCTGCTCCAATTCTGATGATCATCCTCATTGCTTCCAAAATCCCCTGGGAGGACACACATATCTATTTTCATGGAAGACATGGGACCCTCATTTACGATAGATTGAGATCTAACATCAAGTAGATCAATTTGAATAGGCTCGTCACCCTCAGCCAATATATTTTTCTGTGTATAATATTCCCGTTTTAGGTTATTAACGAAACGCAACTGAAAGTATCTGGCTTCCGATATCCCACCACACTGGTTAGAGGTCAATCTGCAATAATTTAATTAAAAAAATATAAAGCATAAATAAATACACAAGGTTGTGTACGGTAAGTAACTGAACAGTTTAAGAAGTAGGAATGCATCACACAGAAAACAGAAAACACAGGAAGCTATGCATAATAATCAAAATTCAAACCTTGGAGATTGGTTCTGTGCTGCAGCCAACTCCTCTCGCAACTAATTAAAAGCGGGAGAAACACATCAGAATCAATAAAAATTAAAGGTCACTAAGGCAAGAAGAATAGATCGAGTTAGGGTAGAAAATATATCTCACACACGTGTGTGTGACACAGCTTGCAAATTGTTGAACAAAGGTCCAAAAATGAATGAATTGGTATCTCAAACAAAACTGAAGCTGGTTGCGTCAAGATATAAGAAAATCGATTGCTAATTAACAAAGATAAAGGGGAGAAAGCTACTCAGAACTTTGTGACAAATATAGAAAGGGCCGAATCATGCCTTTCATGGAAACGCGTATAGAGAGTAGACATTCGATCCATGTATAGAACCGCATATAAAAAACAGGCATAACACTGAGCAATTTCATTGCTGCAGCTGAAGCTTCTTGAAAATGCAGAAAGCTATAGAAGATGAGTAGATGAAAGCAGAAAGCTACTTGTGGGGGACACATGACTGGTGCGAATGGCAATTGGGTGAAGGGGTTTGTTGTAAGCTTGGGAATCTACCTTCAACAGTAGCTGAAATAATGGGGATCATTAGGGGACTCGAATTATGCTGGGATCAAGGGTTCAAAAAGATAGAAATTTATTCAGACTGTTTGGAAGCGATAAACCTCCTGACTAGAGGCGTGACTGCTGATCATACTTCTCAGAACTTCATTTCTCATGCTATTAGTTTAATTCATCGGAACTGGATTGTTATTATTAGTTTTGTTCATAGAGATGTGATTAACACTGCTCACCACCTGGTTCGGAAAGTTCATTCTATTGAGGGCTCTTTTTGTATCGTTGATCATCCACTACCTTAGTTGTCAGAAGGGGGTTGATGACGATTGATTTGGCTCTCCTTGTACTTTGCTTGACTTGTTCTTGTTTTTTTTTTTTCTGATTATGAATGAATTCAGTTTTCATCCAAAAAAAAAAAAGTTATGTCTTACCACTCTTCGCACCATAGCTTCAAGGTCGGAGTTTCCGCACTTGCAGAGCACGTTGGTATTATCCCCATTGCTCCTGCATGGTAATCGCAAAATTATATATATTTTTATGGAGCTGCTGCAAAGAATAAAAATTACCCCATAAATCTGAAGACATCCACTAAATTAAAAGTAGATTAATACAGAATAATCTCTTTTCCTATAGTATCTTCGTGTCTCCGCTTTGGCTTTTCAGCTGGAATGTCAGAGTCATCGGGTTTTCTCTTCGAGGCCATCCTCGCTGCACGAGGCCTGGGACGTACAGTTCTGGGTTCTTGAACGCACGCTCATGATGCCTTTAAAAAAGCAGAGGTACATCACATTACGTAGAAGTTGTGAGGATATTTACCGGAAATTACGAACTTGATCTAATTCACGAAGCGCGCACAAAAAGTCCACAGTCCACACAACACAAGCTAGATAAGTAATTTAAACTCCAAAAGCCCTCTCGTCAGTGAACTCGACCGGAACATTAATGACGCGCTGCTAGCTGATTCGAATGCGCGTTGTAACAGTTAAAAGGATCAGCCCGGGAGAATTAGCGCAAGGCATTAGGAATTCTAAATCTCGATAGCCGCGTGCATTTAGCGCAAGGAAGATAATGTTCTTGTCAAGATAAAATTAATTAAGCCTCTGATCCAACACAACTAAAATGAGTAGGTATAGGATCTCCAAAAATTTTGTAAGCTCTAACAAAGGAATGTCTCTTTCGAGTAATGCTTACTATTTATAGGTTATTGTCATCTTATTTATTATAATTTACCTTTCTAATTTTTATGTCTGTCTTTGCCTTTTTTTTTTCATTAAATGTTGGAAAGCTTAATGAATATGTGATGGTATTTTATTTTAAAGTATGTATGTAAATTCCATAAGAGTTAAACTAGAAACTTCTTAAATCTTTATACGAGCTTAATAAAGTTTATGGTTTTATTTGGTTATAATGAAACATGTGGAATTGGAATAGGGTTAAGATATAAATTTATTTTCAAAATTTTCACACAAGCTCATCTCATATCTTAAGATTTTTTTAACGCAATGCCATCCTAATATTTTTCAATTTGATATAATATTACTCTACCGTTAGGGTTTATTTGCATTGACCGTTAAGTTAGATAATTTGGTTCACATATATTTGATTGGAAAAGAGGAGGAAGGAGAAGGTGAAAGAGATGCGAAAGAGTGAGGAAGGAAAAGTGAAGATGATCGCAAGGAGACTCCAAGACTGAATGTGGCTCTACTTTTTTCCCCCTTGACTTTTAAAATACGCCACATGGCTACTAAATGAAAACCAATAATCAAGATGATGTTACACCAAATTGAAAAATGTTGAGATAACATTGCGTCAATAAAAAAAAATTGAAAACATATGAGGTGTATTTATGTGAAAATTTCAAGAACAAATTTATACTTTAATCCACATAAATCCTAGAGGGAGTGTTTTATTACGGACAGAACATTTCTAGTTTCAAAAAACTAACTACAATATTGTATATAACATACATAGAATTATAGATGCTTAGAGTATTATAATATCTTGAATAATAATTGTCTTATAGGAGCAAAGAAAGCTGGTTTTATGGACTTATCCCCAATGCTTATCTCATACTCATTAGTGTAATGAGATCTATATCATTCAAATTTTGATTCATTAGATGATCTAGATTTAAAGTATTATTTTATATTTATTAAAATAAAAATTTATATAAATTATAAAAAAATTTAATCACAATATTTTATAGATTTAATTTGAAGGGTCTAATTTAATAATAAATTTTTTATATATTAACTATTTAGATGTATTCTGCACAATTCATATTTAATATTAATTTTTTATAATTTGTATTTTGATAAATAAAATATAAAAATTAAAATATTTAAAACTGGCATTTAAAAAATTTTTAAAAAAATTATAAATTAAAAATTTTAAATCTAAACTATACATAATACAAATATATAAAAATTATAAAAATTTTAATATTAAATTTGATTCTCAAAATTAAATCTATACGATATTCATGATAACAAAATTTATTAAATTTTTATTTTAATAAATATAAAATAAAACTAAAATTTAAATAATCCAACACAGTTATGAGCCCGACGGTGCTCGTGAGTCTGTCAGTGCGATGAGCAGTGAAAATGGGCATCAGAGCATGCGTTGACCTGAACGACAAGTCTAGCTAAGAGCAGTAGGCAAAACGGAAATAGAGATGAAGATGGGGCACGAGAAGAGAAGATGATGAAGTAAAATGGAGCAGCAGAAGCGGAGAGCTAAACTGACCTAGAGGCAATCTATTCCGTCCGAGACTAGCAATGAAGAGAGAGGCCAATCTGTGGCTTACGCGCTTCACCCTCTCCCACACATTCGTCCTCCTAGAAACTGGGACGAGTCTGCAGATCGCGCCATGGATTTTCCTCTACAAGCTTCAAACTGCAGGCTAATGCGTCGCTTGGAGGGGAGGCGACAAAACGATTTCGACATTGCAGGTTGAGAGAGATGAGTTTTGCAGCTCTCCCCGAGATTTTTTAATTAATGCCACCCTTTGTATTTTTAAGTTATTTGCATTGACTTTGACTCAATAAAGCTAGCCGCCTTCTCTGCAGTCTTGCTTGCTTTTTTTTTTTTTTTTTATTACAAAATATTATCTCTTGAATATAATTCTATTCAAAACAAGATAACATAAATATAGACAATTTTTTTTTTTTACCGGAATTTGGATCTTAATTCACCTTGATACGAGTACTGGCTTCCATAGCTACATCCAAAATCAAATTTTTTTACTTGTTTTTTTATTTTCACTTTCATTGAAAAAAAAATGCCTTTTTTCCTACATTTTTGGAAGCACTTGTTCAAAAATGAAAAATGCCAAAAGTAGAGTTCCTTACTTCTTCACCCCCATGTCCCCCTTTTTATTGTCCTCTTTTTATCAATTATTATTCCCGGATATTTCTTAGATGGCATCAGATCCTTCGCTCTACCCGGAATCCACACAATCCGATCCTCGTACATATTCATCTAGCTAAGAACGAGCAGGCCTCAACAAATGGGGCACAAGTATCAGAATAAGCAATGCCTTAATCAAGTGTAACTCAGAACCACCGATTTCCATTATAGCATTGGTTTGTACAATACATTACCTTGCTAGAATACTTTAAACCCCACACACAACACTCGCGTCAAAGATAGAAAGAGAGATCAACAACCAGAGCTATTAGTTACAAGGAACTGGAAGTTTCCCCTTCCTCTTACCCAGAAAGGGCATCACCAATCTTAGAGTATTCCGAATCTTATTCCAGACAGTTTTGCTTCTCCCTCTGCAAGAAGTTAAAGCGGAATGATCCTGCAAATATTGATAACTCGATTCGGGTCCTTCAACTTGATCAGAATAACCAAGCGGATTTCCTATCCCCCACAGCAACGAAGGAGACAGGCCGTTTGGTAATTCAAGCTCAGACACGTTAGGCAGGTAATTCCAATCTTCTCCAGCAACCAACTCTCCAGATACAAACTCTTTCCCAATACTGTTGGGTTCCATTTGATCACCGCCTACTTGTTCATCAGTATGCATTAATTCACCGAGCGACGTAGACGTGGAAGGCTGGCCTGCATCTCTCATACAATCAAGCTCACTGGCTAATTATTTGACGGGAAGTGTATATTTGCACATTAATAAAACGGACAGAATCTCAGATATACTGCATTTTACCTGCTAATTCCTTCATCGACCCATATACTGATGTCTCCACTGTCTCATAAGCCTTACGCTTAGCTATTTCCACGACACGCTGTCAATGAAATTAGACAAGAAAGCAGTGAATGGAGATTATCATGCGGCGTGCTCACAAACGAGTCAGCACTCAGCAGTACTATTTGGAATAAACATGAACTAGTATATATACCTTCTCTTCCGAGTACAGGGAATCTAACGAACGATAATGAGGCCCACCAAAACTCACTCCCACGAGCTCATAGATGGAATTGAAGAGAAGGCTTATTGGTTGTTGTGCTGTGGTGATACACTGGAAAGTGTAACGCTCACCGTCTATCTCGCAAGCCCTGGCATGCTCAATGATTGCGTCCCACAACGTCTTTCTAATTCCCATTATCTACAGTTGTCCGAATCAAAAAATCACATCTCATGTATATGCCATCAATTCAAGTACCTTTGAGGTCTAAGCAACACTAGAAAATCATAATCCGCATATTTTAACCTTTTGCAATGAAAAAGGGTTGATCACGTTCAGCCGCAACAGATCTCTAACAGTTTTTACTTTACAAAACGACAGCCGCTTGTGAATTGGACCATCTTTGGCTATCTTTTTCAAACGCCATACTTCGTCATTCAGTGATGGACGGTCGTGTTTCTTGTACGCTGAGATGACATGTCAGATTTACCGTTCCAACTTCCAAAAGTGAAAAGTATAAGTGTGTGTGTGTGTGTTCGTTCTGTAAAAGCAAGGCCAAAAGATATCATAACAGTAGTTAGATGTAATTATTAACGGATCGAAGACTTACACTCTCCACGTTTGTCCTTGACGATAAAAGCTTCACTCCTGCCTTCTCTTATGTTAGCTCCGTTCTCTACAGCTCTGGCTCCTAGCCTGAACCTTCGGCTTCTGGTCCAGCTGGAGTTATCACCGAACTCAATGTACGGCACAATACCGACTCCATTTTCCAATGTAACGAACCTTTCTCCATTCAGTAACTCGCCCTTATTATCTCTTCCTGGTGAGATATTGGCATTGAATTCCTCTTCACTCCAATCCTCATTCCCGTTACAACCAAACTCACCATTGAGCGCGCACATCATTATTCTGGTGCAGGACAGTGGACCTTCCTTCACTATGCAGTTCTGAGATCTCGCATCACGCAAAACAATTCCAATCGGAGCGCCTTCCTTAGAGGTTATCCTCGTGCGTGTAAAAATTGTTGCAGGCAAGCTGTTAGTAAACCACAAGCGTAAAGCTCTGCCTCCCGATGTTCCTGTCGGATGAAGGGTTTCTTCGCAGCTATTTTGGATGAAACACACACACACACACACACACAATATTAGAGTAAATTATAGACAAGTTATCTATCTGAATCAGGAATATATTTTCTGGACAAGTGAAACAGACCAAGCAAATAGATGACGGTGCCGCTGAAGTATAGGTGGAAGCTCCTCTTGCACCTGGATAAGGAATACACACGATCGACACGACGAAATTTGAAGGAAAAAGAAACGAGACACCTAATACTACCCAAGAGCACGATTAATGAAGCTGGAAGATGACAAAAATAGATGAGACGAAAAAAATTGTGCAAAGGGAAATATTCTTCAGTTCAACTTTCAGAGAGAGATTAAAAATGAATGAGAGATCCGTTGCATACCACTTTTCGAAGTAAAGGTTCCAAGTACAATCCCAAGTCATGCACGCCCCGTCCTTTCGTAATATTCCTAATAGCACTGCACAGATACCAGGAAACATGAGTTACTGATGAACTCAACGCAGGACAATCGGATCCATAAACATACAAAATGAACCAACCGTATGTCTGCTTGTTTTAAGCTCCCTTGTCTTCGCTTGGAGCCCTCTTTACCAGGAACCCGACGATTCCTGTCATCACCCTCCTCCTGGCAAGACTGTCTTGCCGATGATGCCATTGCAAATTAAAACACAGTTCTCTGAGCTTGATTAGCCGTAAACTAGAATAAAAAAAGGTGCTGCTTTCTCTATATATGTATATATATTCAGGTGAGAGGAATTCCGAGAAGTATCTTGGCAAAAGGAAACTGCGACTGAATTTCCAAACCGCGTTAGAAGAAGACCCCCCCCCCCAAACGTTGGCGGACATTCAGAGTGTTAGAGAAAGATTAATTGACACACAGGCAGCGAAAGATGATTTTCGTGGTCGTGAGTTTAGATTTGACAATTAAAAAAAATGCAGACACGTTGGGACAGTGAAGATTGCAAGTTATGATCAACCAATATATATTTATATATATATATATATATATTATTACACATTTGTGAAGAACGAAGATGCTAGGTACGCAAGAGAGTCCAGGTCAAAAAAAAAAAAAAAGGCGCGCAAGAGAAGAAATTCATCGGAGTTTTGGTATTAATTAACGGGAAAGTTCAAGTAAAGATCCAAAGAAGCTGAGTGCCGACCGGGGGGGGGGGGGGAGTCGATTGTCTGCACTGTCTAGCCTTTGATTCTCTCCAGGAAATTCGAATTTATCAGTCACAGAAAAATTCCAATCTATAAATTAATCATAATCATAATTATTGATAATCAACAAGAGCTGTCTTTCATTTGCCGTGCCTGCGGAATAATGGGGAATGTCCAGTTTAGTTTAATTTAATATAATAGACTGATATATATTACATACTCAACCGCCACAACGCCCAGTTTGGAATTAACGTCGAGGGTGAAATCGGTGCCAAAGTGCCTCGTGGGTGCTGGAATGTTTCCTCCATGCTTCATTTCATAACACTTACCGAGAAAGTTACACCCTGTTTCACATCTTCCTCACCAATGTCATGAAACTTAATCCTAAAATGATACAGGAAACGTGACTGACTTTTATTTTTTTAATTGAAAAAATATTCACTTTTTTTAATAAAAAATAGGTGCCGGCATAAAAACAACTAAGTACCTTTTTTCAGAAAAAATTGCAGTGAGGGCCCTAGAAGAGGGGGAAAAAAGAAACGATGAGGACTTTAAAGAGTTGAAGATTTATCTATGTAAAACTAAATTTTTATTAATTGATTTGTGTATAGATGAATCTTCAATTGTCTAGAGCCTTCACTATATTTTTGTTCTTCTGGAAGTCCTCATTGTAATTTTAGGTACCAAAAGCATGGAAAAACTATGGAGTAGAAGTTCTCGATCCATGTATAAAAAGTAAATGTATATAATTTATCAAGGAAAAAAAGAATGACGAGCAAAAAGATAAAAGTTACAATATAAACGTTCGTTTCACCAAAAAGTTTCCACGTTTTGTGCATCGTTTTATTTTGAAATAGACGAATATATCAACGTTAAATGAGAAGATTTCGTCATAAGTCCATCAAAGTAAAAATGACAAAGAAGTGTAGACCAGCACTCAGGGAATTACAATGGCCTCTATAAGTTCGAGTTCGTTCAAAACAATTTAAAAAGAAAGAAAGACAAGGGAACGAGTCAAGTTGGTGGGCTGGCCCACTCCTCCTGGACTTCCAAGCATAGGCCTCTACAACAAGCAATTTTTATAATAACAACAACTATAATTAGGGGTAAGCAAAACCGAACCGAAACCGAAAATCGAATTGAACCAAATTGCGTTTGATCTGTTCGGTTCGGTTTATTCAGTTTAAAAGGTCGGTTCGGTTTTTTTTAAAAAATATTTTGGTTTGAATGGTTCGGTTCGGTTTGAGGATTATGAAACCGAATAAACCGAAGTAACCGAAATTAATCAGATACATTTATAAATATTATAATTGATTTATATTATTAAAGATTATATTTTTTAAAATACTAATATCATATAAATTTTTTAAAGATTATATTATTATAATTATATTTTTTATAATTGTCCTTTACCTTTCTTCATCTCGGCCCATTATCAGTCTCGGCCCAGCCATACTCGTCAGTCCACAGTCGTCACTTCTCGGCTCTCGCTCGATTGCTCTTAGAGACTTAGATCAGAGTCATTTAGGTTTAGCTTCTGTCTCCCACTCGGCCACTTCACAGTCCACCACACAGTCGCGACTCACGATTCACGAACCCTAGCAAATAGCAATCTCTGTGACTCTGTATCTCCATCTTGCACTCACTCGATCAGTGATCAATCGACGTCGGATCCTTTGCAGACAGCAGTTCGTCGGCTCTTCTCTCGATCTCAGCTTTGAGTCTCTTCTCTCTTTCAGCCCCACTCCATGAAGCACGAACCATAGATCGCCTCAAGCTTCGTCTCCCTCAACCTTTATCATTCTCTCAATCTTAGCTCAGATCAGCGTTCATCTCCCTTCGCCTTAGATCAGCGTTCATCTCCTTTCGTTTTCTCAAGTCCAGTTTGTCTGAGCTCAGGCTTCATCTCCCTTCTCAGATAAGGGAAACTCATAGACGCAAGGTATGGTTCCAGCTAGCAACTTTCTTCATCTCATGTTGATCTCTTCTTCCTTCTCTAAAATGTCTCTATTTTTGTAAATGCAGGCTCATGTGTATGTTTTCCTTTTTTCTGTGTTCAGATTGTTGAAGTAAGGGATGCGCTTCCACAGAAACTCCAAGAGAAGAGAAACTGTTAGGTGGAAGAACATGAACAATTAAGTCTGAATCAAGAGCAGAGGGAAGACAGTATAATAGGAGGTGTCGGGCGACTGGGTTCAGCACAGCTGAGTGAAAATTCAGAGAGAGGAGGTGGCGGGCACAGGGCTGTCCATTCTAAAGGTAAGGATTCGGAAGATGAGTTAAATGATTGGCTTGCTATTGATGATTTTTAATTAGATTTATTGATTGATTCAGTGATTAAAAAGGTTCAACTTCTGTCCTAATTCTGGGGCTCTGTATTTAGAAAAATTTCACAATGGTGTAAAGGATTTTTTACTGAGTTCTCCCAACTTAACTCTTGAGAAGTGTGTCTTAAGCTTTGTTTTGTTTAATGGTTTAGATGTCTGCCTCCCGTGAAGGTGAAGGACAAACTATCACTCCAAATAGCCAAACACTAACTCCATCTTCAACATCTAATACTGAAGTGAGTTCAAGAAAAAGAAAGACCATACAGCCAAGGTCTGAAGTTTGGGAGCATTTTCACAAATATGTTAATGAGTATGGAGAAACCAAAGGTAAGTGCAATTATTGTGAAAGGGAGTTTTTCTGTGATCCAAAAAGGAATGGGACTATTGCACTTAAAAATCATATGGGTGTGTGTAAGAAACGGCCTCCTCCTGAAGAAGGCATACAAACCCACTTAAATTTTGGTATAGATGATAATGCTTCTATTCTTGCTAACTGGAAATTTGATCAAGAAGCAATTAGGAAATCTTTGGCAAACATGGTTATAACTGATGAACTTCCTTTCAAATTTATTGATGGGTTTGGGTTTAAACGCTTTATGGCTACTGCTCAACCAAGATTTAAGGTTCCTTCTAGATGGACAGTGGCTCGTGATTGTTTTAAAATTTACATGGATGAGAAAATTAAATTCAAAGACCACTTGATTAGAAACAAACAAAGGGTTTGTCTAACAACTGACACTCGGACTTCTATTCAAAGAATCAATTACATGTGTATTACTGCTCATTTTATTGATGCTGACTGGAATTTGACTAAGAGGATTTTGAATTTTGTTCCAATATCTAGTCACAAGGGGAGGGATATCGGAATAGAAATTGAGAAGTGTTTGCTTGAATGGGGAATTGATAGAGTGTTTACTATTACAGTAGACAATGCTGCTTCTAATGATGTTGCTTTATTGTACTTGAAAGAAAAAATTTCTAATTGGGGCTTTTCTATCATGAAGTGTCAGTTTTTACACATGAGATGTGTTGCTCACATTGTAAATTTGATTGTTGTTGATGGGTTAAGATTAATAGGGAGTTCTGTGAAGAGAGTTAGGGAGGCTGTTTAGTTTGTTAGGCAATCTGCCCTTAGGATGAAAAAGTTTAAAGAGAGTTGTGAGGATGAGAAGATTCAAAGTAAGAGCCTTTTGACTCTAGATGTCTCTACTAGGTGGAACTCTACTTATTTAATGTTGGAGAGTGCTCAAAAATTTGAGGTAGCTTTTAAGAGGTTTGAGGACAAAGACCCTTACTTTCGCACTGATCTTGAACAAGGGGAGGGGGTGCCTGATGCTGCTGATTGGAGGAATGTTAGAAGGATGGTGATGTTTTTAAGTTATTTTTATGAGATGACCTTGCGTGCGTCTGGTGCTTTTTATGTTACATCCAATAGCTTGTTTTATGAGATTTACATGATATATCGCCTTTTGGATGAATGGACAAAGTGTGATGATTTTGAGCTATTATCAATGGCTTTTAAAATGAAAGAAAAATATGACAAGTATTGGGGAGATCTTTTAAAGATGAACCAACTCATTTATATTGCTGCTGTTCTATATCCTCGATATAAGTTGGAATGGGTTCAATTTGCTCTTTATAAAATGTTTAATGATGAAGGTGAAAATTTGGCAACGCAAGTGATGGATGTTTTCATTGCTTTATATCATGAATACAAAGAACATGTCTCTCCCTCTAAGCAATCTGAAAAGGAGCAGCTTATAGATGAAATCCAAGCTGATTTTGGTGATGAGGATGACCCTGCTATGAAGGTTAGAAAGTTGCTTGAATCAGAAAAGAGAAAATTTTTAAGTGACCGTCTTGGTGGAAAAAATAATAAGACTGAAGTTGATAAATATTTGAATGAGGAAATTGAAATAGATAGACCTAACTTTGATATCTTGGGTTGGTGGAAATTGAATGGTCCTAGATTTCCCATTCTTTCAAGGTTGGCAAGTGATGTTTTGACAATACCAATATCCACAGTTGCTTCAGAATCTACATTCAGCACTGGAGGAAATGTTTTGGATGCATTTAGGAGTTCTTTAACTCCTAAAATTGTGCAAGCCCTTATTTGTGCTGAAGATTGGCTTCGTCACTCCATTCCTGTGGTTGTGGAAGAGAAATTAGATGATATTCAAAGGATTGAAAGTAGTAAAAATTTTATAATGTTATGTATGTGCAATGTTACCTTTAAAATTCATTTGTTTATGATTTAATTTAACTCCTAAATTGATTTATTTGTAAATTTCCAAAGAATTGGATTAGAATCAACAGTGGATATAGTTTGAACTCTTTAAGGTAATTATTCATTATTGCTGTCCATGGAAATTGGTTCATGTAGTTGTGATCTTTGTTTTATTGTTGGTTTTTGTAGTTTTCTAACTTCTAGTGCCTGGTGGACTGTTGGTTCTTGTTGCTGTTTTCTTCTAGTCTTTTTGGTGGTTAGTTTTTTAATAAGCTTGTTCATTTTTTTAGTTTTGTAATATTTTGGCCAGATGTTTAACTATTTTCTTTTATAATGTAGGCTGGAGCAAAAATTGTGCCATTGACAGCTGACATCATGTGATGATCTAATGGATTAGTTGTTTTGAATTATGTTAAAACTTTTGAACTTATTTGCAGTTTTTTAAGGGATTATTGTTGTTATTTGGTGGATTATTTTGGATTGTTAAGAATTTATATTAAGGAAGTTATCAATTTATAAATTACATGTCTTTTGCTCTGCTTCTTCAACTTATAATGACTGAATTTGATTATTTTATTTTTTGATATTTCTAGATTTTACAGCCTCATTCATAAGGTCTATTTAAAAATTCCTTGATTCCCCTTTAGGATTTTGTGTTTTAAATTATTTGTTAATCAGTATTTTTTTTAGATAAACCTAAAATGCTGTCAAAAAAGGCCCAAAATGTTGTCAAAAAAGACCCAAAATGTTGTAAAAAAAAGCTCAAAATGCTTCCAAAAACAGGCCCAAAATGTTGCCAAAATCAGGCCCAAAGTGTTGTATATAAGGCCCAATAACCGAAATATAAAAACCGAACCAAACTACTAAACTTCGGTTCGGTTTCACTTCGGTTTTTATAAACCTTTGGTTCGGTTGAATAGTTTGATGAATTTCAATTTTTTCGGTTCACTTAAATCAAAACTAAAGCGAATCGTTAGAACCTATACTCACTCCTAACTATAAGACGACGTGTTCATTGGGAACCGCTAAATTAAATCCTTATACTTCAACACGTGTACTAGTGCTCCCTCGACCTGATATCATGGCGGTAATGTTAGGCGCCCGGAATTCGTTCTCTGCTCTCGTAGTTGACCAACGAAGGATCGGCGCCAGTAAGGGAAGAAAGCGTTCCCTCCAATTGGCGCGGAGGAAAAATTTCTCGTTGGCGCCAAGAACCAAGCGGCTTTTAGTTGCAGCAGCAGAAATAGGAGATTCTCGGGAGGGAGATTTCTGGTCCGGCCAAGCCAGAAAGTCAGAAACCCGGCCCCATAAACTTCTCGATCAAATTAGTTCCGACTGGGTAATTTGTTTATTCCCGGAACCTTGAGCTTCATATTCTCTGCTCTATTTTTTTTCCCCAAAAGGTATGTTCTATTGTTCTTTCTTTATAAGGCAAGATTTTCTTGCATCTTGCCTTGTCTTTCTTTGTTTTTTCTTTTTTCTGGGACGTATCTGGGCTTTGTCTTTCAAGCGCGTTACTGCAGCGATTTTCACATTTTGAGTTAGTAACCAAAAAAAAAAAATGCCAGTTTGGAGTGTGGAGTCCGTCTTTAAATTTGATATCAAACATGTATCTGCTCTAATTTCAGTTTCCACCTGGAATGGATTTGGATGAGAATATCGCAGAAATAGACAAAGACAAGGGCCACAATTGGACATTATGTGTGCATTCTTTCAATGATTTAACCCATGTCTCCCCGGTGGTATTCGTATACCTGTTGAAAGAGTCTTATTTCTACGGTATGATTTCTCCTCCTTGCACTGCTAATATTTGTTTTCTGCGAGAGGATATTAAGGCAAATACCTAGTGTTTGCTGAAATGGTTCGACGCACTTTTTCTGAGAATCTTCATGCTAACGAGATTAACATAAAAATATGGGGTTATAGACAAGAATTATTATCATTCCTCTATTTCATTGGTCAACTTTGCACTTGGAGAGGCTAGCACTGTGCCTTTGACACCTAGGTGGATTTTTGAAAAGTTTTTAATTTGTAACGGATAACTTTGTTGATTTAAGCGTTTCCTCGGGAATACGGGAATCCTTGACAAAGTTAATAACCTACTTTTATTTAAATAAGTTTAAAATCTTCTTTCTAAGTTATCTTTCACCACGAATAATTTCTTGCTACATTTTTCGCTGTGTTACGTCTGCTCTTTCGCAAATATATTGAAAATACTTATTAGCATTCATGTGGCTCGGTCTCACAACAATGTATCTTTTTTCTTACTCCTTTCTATGCTGTTTCTGTTTAAATGACATTGCATAGGCACAATTAAGGCGACAACAAAGTTCCAAGCCCTTCAACATCAAGTATATCTTGTGTTGCATAATGATCCAAAACCTGGACCAGCTGCTTTTGTTGTACGGTGCTTATACGTGTCACCTCTATATAATGATTGTAGTAGTGGCTTCAGTCATTTGATTATATCTGCCCTTGGTCGTTTCTTGAAAAAAGCAACCACTTCAGAGGGCTCCTTGGAAGCAAAAGACTTGGCTACCCATTTGTTCATTGACATTGTTGGGGGCCAGGTCTTTCACGATGAAAAGATTATTGTTAAAATATTAGAAACTTTTTATATTAAACTAACAGATATTGAGAAAGTCATGTTCCAAATGAAAGCAAAGCATGGCTCAAGCCATGTTACAGCAGAAGACTTAATGAAGCAGTATATCTTTGAATTGGTAGAATCCCAACTGTACATGACAGCTGTCTCTCTGATGGAGCGCTTGTCAATCTCTTGTTTTGGGAAGTCTTTTCTCCTTAGTATGATACAGACCTATCAGTTTAAAGCAGCAGAAAAATGGGCAACATTTATGGGGAAGCCAATGTTACGTGCGCTTGTTGAGGAGTACTGTGAGAGGAACTTGCTAAAGAATGCCTATAATATTATAAAGATGAACAATCTGCAGCAAGATTTTCCAGATGTATATCAAAAGCGTAAAGAAAGGCAATTCAATTCCAGTTGTCAATATGGGGTGGATTTGTGCATTCTCATTCTTCTTCTATTTCTTAACTACTAGATTACTTCATCGATTTGCAGTTCAATAAAGAAGCTAGCACAAAAAGGATGTTGGGATGTGGCTGAGGCAAGAACAAACGGTGATAGACAGCTTGTTGAATATTTGGTTTGTGATTCTTTTTCATGATAACTATCATTCTGTGCATTCTTTTTCATTAACACTCATATAATGACGTATTTGATTTACTTTGATTTTGTTAATACTTATGCAGCCTCCTCATTTTTCCCTCAGGCCCTCAGTTTCCTTTTTTTTCCTTTTTAAGATATCCTTCTTGACGAAAAGCTTTGAGAAAGAATTCTGAGAAAATATATTACAAGCGATATCCTATATAACTACATCAGTATCTCCTTGGAAACTAGAATAGTTGGAATTGACAAGCGATTTTGATTAGTGCATCAAAAAATCACCTTAAAACTGTGGCATATTTACTAAAAGAATCAAGAATAATTGCGTAAGCCTTTGAGGTGAAGAAAGTAATCTTCCAGTTCTTTACTCTATTGAAATGGCGATGTTATAAGGTTTACCTGGAATAGTAAACTGTTATTATGTTTTGATAATTTCATTGCCCTTTTTATCTAAGACCCTAGTATATGTATGCTATGATCTTTAATTCTATGTGTTTAAGGTTTATTTGGCAATGGAAGCTGGATACACAGAGAAGATTGATGAACTGTGCAATCGGTACTCCCTTGAAGGGATATTGCAGAAAGGTACGCCAATGGTCAATTGATTTTTTTTTTTTTGGGGGGTTTGTTGGGGGGAATGTTCCCTGACTAACTTGGGGATCTAATGTTATAAGATTCATCGTGGCTTAACCTTCATGAAAAGGGCTAATTATCCTAGTGTTATTATCTTTTATTTTTGTCTACTCAATTGTTATGTTAAAGTATCTGCCTTATTGTTCTTCTGTGACAAACACACTAATGTTTTTTTTTTTTAATTAAAAAACACACTAATGTTTTTATGCCTTGCAGTACCTGATAAAAGTATTCAACACAGGCGTTATTTGCATCTTGATGAGCTGCTTGTCGAAGACATTATCTGGGTTGATGAATATAAAGGTTTGCTTGATGCAACTAGTCACATTGAGGGTTGTAAAGTTATAGGCGTTGATAGTGAATGGAAACCTAATCATGCAAAAGGCAGCAAGCCAAATAAGGTAATCTGCAATGAACCCCCTGGTAGATTAATGTTTATTCTCCCGTTTTTTCTCTGTTGGTTTTAATTTTATGAAGTTGTATGATATGATTTTTCTTAACAGAAGTTTAGCTCTTCATTCTCCTGTTACTCTTTTTGTTATGGCAGTAATTCCTCCCACCCCCCTTTAAATGAGAAAATGACGGCTTTTTCCATGTCTCAGGCTTCTATCTTGCAAATTGCTTCTGAAAGGATGGTTTTCATCTTTGATCTGATAAAGTTACACCAAGACGTGCCTGATATTTTAGACAACTGTCTGACCCGCATTTTGCAGTCACCAACAATGTTAAAACTAGGTATGAATAAGCTAAATGCATCAAGCATATTAATCTCAAGATCTGTGGGTAGGTTAAGCAAAATACTTTTTCTGAATAAAGGCAAATCTGTATGTTTTGCGTGATGACTGTTTTAACTTGACTGTGAAACGAGAATGCCCATTATTAGATTCAATTGAATAGTACCTTCTTGCACTCCATTGTAGAACATTAGAAAAATGTTATCGGACGGAGGCTCATTTGATGCACCTTGCGAGGCAAGCTTGTGATCATTGCTGTTTTCTGGTTTTGCTCTCAGGGTACAATTTCCAATGTGATATAAAGCAGCTTTCTCATTCATATGAAGAGCTAAAATGCTTCAAGCACTTTGAATTGTTGTTGGACATTCAGAATGTTTTTAAAAACCATCATGGTGGTTTATCTGGGCTTGCAGAGGTATTTTATGCTCATGCGTCCTTTTAGCACCTATGTTCTCTTAGGACGTATGCTACTCAGTGTTCATATAGAATAGTAATAAATTGGACAAAAACCTTTGGTTTTCTGTCTTTGCTGACTTTACAAAACGATTTTGTGGTTACTGATAAATCAGAAAATACTGGGAGCTGGTCTAGACAAGACAAGACGGAACAGTGATTGGGAGCAGCGACCTTTAAGCCAATATCAAGTAAATGCTTCCCTTGTTCAATTACTATTCATCAGCACCTTTCATATGCAATCTTTTGGCGAGACTTCTTGGAGTTTCATTATATTTAATTTCTGGTTTTCTGTATATGTTCATGACTATCAATCCCATCTCTCTCTCTCTCTCTCTGTGTGTGGGTGTTAATGCAGGATGAGGGGATAACTTCTGTGTTATTTTAGTTAAATGCATTTATTTATGCTTGATTATTAGTTCTATTATACCAGATAAGGCTTAAGTCAAAGATTCGTAGAATTTTTTTTTTTTGTTATTGATCAATAATATTGAAATTAGGTCAGTATTAAGATTTCTTTCCCATAAACAAGGGCCCAGTTAGTCATTATCACGTGCCCCCTCATTGATTAATAACATTGAAATTTTGCGTTTATAATATTTCTGTGTTTCCCCTAATGGTTATACTGGTACACCAATGGGGCTACAAAAGTTCAAGAGAGTAAAACAAGCCTAGTTTTATTTATGCATGCTTCCTGATCTGATAAAGAGGTGAAAGGTTCTATTTATAGACAATTATGCTTCTATTATTTTTGTGAAACTAATCGTGGCAGCAGAATGAAGAGTCGTGTATGATTATAATTTGTGCACCTGTCAATAGTATTGAGTGTCTCAACAAGCTAAAGCCGGTACTGGATGTGCAGCTAGAATACGCTGCCCTTGATGCTGCTGTACTCATTCGCATACTCAGCCATGTTTCTGGTGAAGGAGATGACAAGCTTGATTGGAAGTTGTATATCGTAAGTGACTGTACCCATGTTTTGATTAGCAAATAATTCGCCCTTCCCACCTCCTCTTGATTAAGATTATGCGTGTGTTTGGATACGAATTTTAATGGATTTTTTGAGTTAAAAATCGATTTTCCAATCACATTATCCAAGCACCCACTTTTTTAGGGAATCCCAAAAATTGATTATTTCTGAAAGCTGAAAATCGGCTCTTCTGTAGAAAAGTTTGTCAAAAATGTTGGGGAAAATTATAAAGACAGGTTCAAGAAAAAATTATAAAAAAAAACACATAATTTAATAAAAATAAAACCAAACTCTCTTCTTTTCTCTCTTTTTTTTTAATAAAATTTAAACTTTGTATCTTAAAAAGATTGATGTTTAGTATTTAAAAATTAAATTATATAATAATTTATATAGTTAAAAATTAATTCTGATTAAATTATTCAAACATTTTCAAATTTATTAAAATTAATTTTAAAAAATATTATCCAAATATATTGCGTTATAACATAATTAATTATGATTAAAATTTATTACTTAATCAATTATTTTTATAATTTATTGTACTCAATTGAAATTTAAATGGGTACTATAACTTTGCTATAGCTTTCTCGGCATTTTCATTAAGTTTACAGTACAGTAGTTAATAACCTTTACTGTTTCTCCTGCCATGCAGGAGCGCCATACCAGAGGCACCAAGAAATCCAAGAAGTTAAATTGAGGCCAACAAGTGCTGATTCTCAGCTTCAAGGCTAAGTTGAGACCAATAGATTCGATCATCTAACAAACACAGACATCGAAATGTAATTTTTGGAAGGTGTAAGAACTGGGAGATATAGGATTTTTTTTTTAAAAAAAGAAAATAATGAATATACTTGGCATTTTAAAAAAAATGTACAATTATTAGTTTCTATAATTTTATCGTATTTTAATTTTAGTTCTTGTAATTTGTGTTCAATTCTTATAGTTTTTGTAATTTAACATTATAATTTAACATGGTTAAAGATCTTAGGAGCAAACATTACTCAATTTTGAAAAAATTATAAGGAATGAAAATAGAAAAAATAATAATAATTTTTTTTTGAATTATGTAAATGACGTTTCGGTACTTCAAAATGTCGTAATTTTTTTAAAATTTTTAAAAATATTTTTATTATTAATGAATTAATATAAATGAGTAAATTATCTTTAATTTAAATTTGTGAATTGTGATTGAATTTTTGCAATTTTAATAAAAAAATTGAGAATTTTAAAATAAAACTTGTGAATGATAATTAATATTTATAACACTTAAGAAGGAATATCAAAAGTTTAAATAAGAACTTGCTAATTATTGTTGAATTTTAACGATTTTAAAAAGAAAAATTATAAATTTTAAAATAAAATTTATAAATAGCAATTAATATTTGAATTAAGGATAATTTAGTTATTTATATTAATTTTTTAATGATAGAAATGTCTTCAAGAACTTTAAAAAAATTATGACATCTTAGTCTATAATTTAAGGAGAATTTTTTTTGGGACAAAATTCAAAGCAATTTTATTATCATTTTTTGTGAAAATATTAAAAAATTATAAAAATTAAAAATAAAATCCGATAAAACTAATAATTCTGTTCCTCCCCCCTTCTTTTGTTTCATGCTTTAAAACCAATGTTTGGAATAGTTGTTAAAGAAATAGAGCCTGAATCACAAAACCGATCAAGGGAATGGACAGATCTAGGAACTACTTGAAGCGGGGCCACATTGGAAATAAAATGTGAAGTCAGGGGAGGGCCAAAATCTATTTTATAATTTTTTTGAGTAAATTTAAATTTTTCCAAAGGATGATTGAGGTGCGATGGGCAAGAATCCTCCTTGGCCTGAGTTTGTCTCTGGGTAAGATAGACATCAATTCTAATACGAATTTAAATGGTCAATCAATTGGTAAAATTGGATTTTTTTTTTTCAGTCTAATGCGTGCATAAATAAGTTTTTTCACAGATTATGAGAGTGAAATTAACATATTTGAATCTGCTTGAGATATAATGAAAAATATTATGAGAGTGAAATGAGAGTGGAAATATCTTCAATGCCTGAGACTGAGATTGAGGTGATGGTTTAGGGGCTGAAATCTGTTAAAATAATACTAACTATTTGGAAAAATATACCGCTGGAGAAATTTATATTAGTCGAGAATTATTTATTATCAAAATTTAAATTAATATCTATCAATTTAAGGTAGTTTTTTATCATCAAATATCTATTTAAATTTTAACAATTTATTTTAAATTAATAATAAATCATTCGAGCTTTTTTCTTTTCGAATTTTGACAATAATTAATTTTTAATTGATATAAATTTTCTCTAGCATTTTATTCACAATTTTTTCCTAACTATTTGTTTCCATGTCATGGTTTTGGCTTGGGGCAGTGGATAAAATTAAATCCAAATGAAGATAGCTGCTCTGGTTAAGCATTAACTTCTATATTTAGTGGAAGAATCAGAAATTGATAGCTGCCAATACGGCTAAATAGGTTGAAATACCATCTTCCACGTAATTGGTGTTGATTAATTTCCCATATTTAAAGAATAAAACATAATTCCTCTAGCCGTCCTCCTGTCTCTCCCTTCTCGAGGAGGCCTGTGAATTGTGAAATAAGCGAAGCCTTCACACGTTATTCATCTTACAGGGGAAAATAAGCGAGGCTCATCCCGGGGGAATTGGCGGAACACCAAGAGAATGCGAAGATGAGCCCAAGCACAAGCTCTACGCAACTGAAGGTAAGCTCAAGACTTCTCTCAAACAAGGTCTTCGCTGGCTTAAGATCAGATGCATCGCTACTATAGCCATCCTGTAATGTAAACATAAACACGCATCAGTCATGGGATCCATCTTGTCTTCTTACTTTACGATTGACCCGATGTGAAAGGTCTAGGATTAGTATAATCTAAATCTTCGTCTGGTCAATACTTTGACCTTTAATTTCCTGACCTTTAAGCATCCATCGCATTGATCAATCACGTGTGTTAGAATTATCCTGGTCTTAGCGTCAAGCGAAAGGCCTATAAAGGTAAAACTGTACATGACTGCTGTATCAGATCAAGGCTTTCTATTGCCAATATTTTGGAAGAAGTTATGTGTGCCCATTTGTGCTCCTCGGGGGAAAAAAAGTACAAGAAGCAAAAAATAACCATTCTTTCGGTTAAAAAACAAATCCCATAATTCTCTTGTGAGGATGGTGCTAAAATGAGATTTGTTGGTCCAGGAGGATAAGAGAAATACTTAAATAAGTTAGGTGTGTCACACCATTTATAACCTGTCTAATTAAAATACTTCAAATAATTTAAATAAAATTTTGTATAATATTTTTTAATAGATTTTATTTTTATAACAAAATGTATATTTGATTTCTTACCTTTTATTTCTTTATTATTATTAGTATTATAATCAATTTATATTTAATACCATCTAAATATTATGTTTTTATTGAACAGATCACAAATGACTTGATGCAATCAGTTTACACAAGACATCTCAGGGAGATAGCAGGAAAAGAGAGATTATAATACATTTCCTTATTGGGTTTGTATTTTGACAAAGCAAAATAGCAACATTAGCCACGATAATAAGGAAGGGGGGAAAAAAGGTAAGGAGTCTGCATGCGCCTCCTATGATATCAAGCATCATTGTAATTAGAGACGGGTTAAGTTTTAATTTGCTTTCCGTCTCAAACAGATAGAAACGGATAGATATCTATCATATTATCATTAATTTATCATCATCATCAATAGTCAATACAGAACATAAAATGCACCGGAATATATAATATTTTAAGTTACAAATAGTGTGGTTGGTTTTGAACTTCCTATAATATTTTTTTTATTTTAATATTTGTCCACTTATTTCATTGGATTAAGTGCAATTTTGTTTTTGTTCTTTTAATATATTTTTACATATTTTTAATGAGGCTTACACTTTAAAAAATGAGTATAATTTTTTTCACGCACAAAAGAATTAATTTAATCAAACAATCCAAGTAGTCGATGCTTTGTGCCAAACGAAAAATTTAAAAAGAATTCCAATGGGACCCCATACGTTTTTTCACGCAAAACCAAGGATTTTTTTTTTTTCAATTAAGAAGCATATCATTTGAAAGTTACAAAAGAAATAAAGAAAAATTAGGCACTAGTTGCCTAGAAATTAAAAGCCTGTTGTAGATCATCTAGAGCAAAGCCCGCACAACAAGCAGGCATAGTAGAAAGAATAATTGTTTCAAAGGGGCTAGCATGTGCCTCCCTAGCAAGAACATTGCACATCGCAGAGCATCTCTAGAACTATGAAAGATCTCAATATCTCAATGACCCAATAACTACAAATTAATTTCTTGGTTTCATCAATCTCAACCCTCAAAGGGTGATCAATGCTATAGTTCCTTGATAAACAATTTACGGCCCAATTCAGTCTTGATTGCAAGAATTTTTGCTACAATTGGTGAGAAAGATCTCAAGGTTTTTGTTCTTTGAAAACCCAAAACTCATTCTTCTTTGTTGTTGTGAATAAGACCACCACATGCCATAGTTTGGTTGCCTTCGACAGAACCTTTGACTTCAATTCGCATCACAACAACTAGAGGTGGGAACTAAGTGGGTGGAGATTGTGCAGTGGTTGAGAATATCTTGTGCTTTAATTTGTCATTTGTAGTATCTTTCATAAGTCCCTGCATACATCAGTGAGTGATCTCCTTCAAGTTTGCACTTTTCCCCTCAAAGATCTTCATGCACCATTTAGTCTATAGGAGATAGCAATCGTGGCAAAAGGTTCTAAACTAATACCACTTATTGGCTCTTTTCATTCCTAAGTAATCTTTAAGGTTCCACCTCAGCCATGTCTGCAAATCACAAGAGAAGAAAGCATATATATGGTTAGATAAAATCAATTCTCTCTATACTTGTTTCGCTCTATTACAATCCCTTAGTAAGTGTATAATACTCTCCTCACTGTTATACTCAAAATGACACTTTGAAATGTTTGTAAAACCTCGCCTTGCTCTGGGTGAGTTAGTGAGTAATCTCTCAGCAATAACTTGCCATATAATCAATTTCACTTTCTTTGCAATTTGATACTTTCATATTTTACTCAAAAGGGTCTTAGCATGTTTGTTCTCACTAGTAACATTGAAGTCATAGGCAGCTTGTACAAAGAATTTGTCATTCGATGCCAACCTCCACCATAGAACATCCTCATAGGAGTTAGAGGGAGTTTTCACATATTTTAAGACATCAATAACTTACGAAGGAACGAATTTAGACCACTCATGAAGATTCCATCCACCTGAAGGCAAAACAAAAATGCTAACTTTAGCACAATGGTCTATGAAATTCAAGTTCTTATCCACAAGTACACTTAGAAGTCTGTCAAAAGGGGCCCATAAATCTTACCAGAATTGTGTAGTATGCCCATTATTAATTTTACATCCAACCATTATCAAGAAAGTGTTCCAGATAGTAACAATCACATTCTAAACGAGCAAAGAGGATTTTTTTCCAGTAATAATGGGTATTTCAATTGAACCACAATCATACTTGGCCTAAAGATATAGACTATTTAGCTAGTTTAATAAGCCCCAACAAAGCTTCATGATGAAAGCCTTATTTTGACTTTCAAGGTCTTTGATACTCAAGCCACCTCTCTTTTTGCTTTTAGTGATCTCTTTTCAAGATATAAGTGCATTTTTCTCAACTCTTTATTTTGGCTCTACAAAAAGCTTATACTAATTTGTTCAATTTCTTTGAGCACTCCTTTAAAAATTAGTAAAGACTAAATCTAATATGAAAGTAATGCCTTAATGATAAAATTAATTAAGACTAATCATCCCATCATAGATAAAAACTAACCTTCTGGGAGAAAAGTCAAAGTCTAATTTTTGCACAACAAGGGAGAATGTTGATCTGGTGACTTTGGAGTGAATTGGTTGGA